TATATATATATATATGTATATATATATATATACACATGAAAAATCTTCTTGCCTGTTTATAAAATGTTGACTGTTCAGCACTACATTTACAAATAATTATTACACATGCTATTTCTCGTATGATGTGTGCAATATAAGAAAAAAAAATCTTTTGATTTTTTATTTCTCATCTGTTATTCCGCAAACATATAGATCGAGAGAATATTTTTAGAATTAATAATTTCTCTTATCTCCCTTTATCAAGTACTTTCCTCCAAAATATTGCACACAATTATACTATATATATTTTTTTCTCTTAAGCATGAACAACATACTACCTGTAATATAATGTTAATGTTCACAACAATGGAAAGTTTATAAGGTAAATGTTAAATGCTGAATGTTTCTATAGACAATCGTGCGTGCATATACGCTTCTCATTTAATCCTCAGGCGTGCTTGTACAATACGTTTTGCTGTTAATGTCTTTTATTCTTCGCGACACTATCTGTGTAATAGCACTTATAAACCGTTTGATAATATTATATGACAAAAGAGATAGTATTTTCTGAGGTTTGCATTGATAAACGTGAAAATTATGTTGATCCTATCTAAATTTCCGAGTTATCACATACAATTGTGAAGGTGCACGCGTGCACATACTAGTCGTAATTTAAATACGAAATGAATACGCGCAATCTTATTATTTGTTGAAAGACGTTTTCACACAAAACACTATGTATGTGTATGTGAATTTAAAATATTTTATGTAATATACATGCAACATGTACTTTACATATACTTGACTTGAAAAACAGATACTGCTGTCCCTTTTTTGTGGATGTGGATTACAATTGCTCAGATAATCATTGATTTGAAGCCTCTTGTATATAGATTTTATATCGGATGAACTATTGCGAAGTAATATTAATAGAGTAAAATTTATTCGCAAATTCTGAGCTGGTAGTACAATTAATGATGACTGAGACTATACAATAATCACGATCGACATATTTGAAATTTATAAATAGATTATAATATCAGTAATAAGTGAGAAAGAAATATCTTATATACTTTGACTAACGTTTGAAATGTTTTATTATAATCATACACATTGTATACTGTATTAATAAGGATGCCTTTGTTCTCAAGATTACCTATAAAATATGCCACTTAAATAATTTGATAAAGTTAGCACGGAGAAAATATATACATACACCTTATTTATTCTAGTCTATCAATTTTTTTTCTTTAACTGACATTTCGTTAATATTTGGAGAATTTGCCAAACATTGTTAAACTTGTTCTGTTTTGTATTTAAAATGATATATTACACCTTCATTCAAGTTAAAATTGTTTAAGTTGTAGAAAACGTTATTGTAATATTGTTAAAAATTTAAATGTTAGACTTTGGTTATTATCAATTGGAAAATATTTAGCTAAATGACGAGTATTAAATGAAAGGAACTTTTTTACCGACGGTATGTGCAAATATTCATATGAAAAGCCCAGACATAGTCTCACAGCATATTATTGTTTTTAACAATATTTTTCTTTCTAACTGTTAACATAGGAAACAATAGCATCTGGTATGATGACCATAATATTGCGCATAATACTTGATTCTATATATTTTGCATAAGGTATTTCAAATGTCTAAACTGCGTTTTCCTAATTTCCGTCCGTATGTACGATTCTAAGCAACCTATGTGCATGCAGTATTGACAGAATGACAATACGTTCTGAAAGCGAATGAAAGTGTTACTAATAATTAGATCACGGATTTGCTTAACCGATCCGTTCGGGTGTCAGTGATAGCCGCAATAAACGCAACGAAATTACGCGATAAACGCGAGGAAAAACTTGCATTTCGAATATTATTTTGATTATATTTGCCATAGATAAATAACTAATCAATACGCTTATGAATAAAAGTAACACTCGTAAGAAAAATTTAATCGAAATATTGGTGTGTCAATAGCTTCTTTTTTTATCGCTTCACACCAATTTTCACGATGTCCAAATTAAGTTGCAACGCTTTGTACATACTTCCCAGCTGCCGATTTCACCTGGGCTTCTTCATCCAGGTTATCAGTCTGATATGATAGATGATAAATAATATATATAAAAGTCTATGCGATAGAGACAACCAAAGCATACAATAATAAATAAATACGAATGTACAAAGAAAAGAGAGAAAGATTATTGCTCTCGGCATAACGGCTCTCATCGAAAACTCAGCAGCCCGGGTACGCTAATCCGCGATTTGCTATTAATTGCCATGTGACCTGTATGTTCGCCGAATTTTGTACAAAAGGAAGGCATGGCACCAATGCAATGATTTCATGCACTTGTACTTTCTCTGATAATAATAAGAGTGGTATTAACATATATTGCCATATTAATAGTTTAAACTTAGTCTCGAGGTCTCTATATAGATTAATCGATTTATTTTTTAGATTATAAACATGTGGTGACCTGCACCACTAGAGCTAGAATAAATGAGAAGTGTATTACTACGTTTATAAGTAGAGTGTGTTGATATGTACATGTATATGTCTTCAAAATCGAATAAATATTCTTCAACAGTTATATTTATTTTGTAACATTTGTGTCTCGTGTTTTTGTTTTCCGAGTTAATATTTTATGACTTAGCATTATTATTCTCCATAACGATATCGGGTTCCAGTACAAAATTTCACGTAGTTCCATTAGTATAATAATGTCGGCAGGGCTCAAAAGTTATTGCGTTTCTTATGACCGGCCTTCGTAAGGCCATCCCAGCTCCATGTGTTGGATGAAGTAGATCCGGCTACTACAGAGTGATCAATAACATGTATGTTATTATTATAACAACATGTAAATACTTTATTCGACATATGCAGCCCGAATACCGGATAGTCCAGATGAAATGGCAACTTGTGAGCCCTTGTTATCAGCTTTTTCTATACAGTCTGTGCATGTGTGTGTACGTGCGCATGAGTGTGTGCGTGTGTGAGGCACTTCAAGCGCGACAAATTGCGATATCTTCCAAAGTATCGATGAGAAATCAATTTCGGGGACAATTTTGAGAAATCAAGCGTTTTAAACAAAAGTCCTAACGGTCGATCAAGACAGAACTTTCTTCTCATTCAAGATCAATTTGGAGATGTCTCTATATCGCGTTTTAAATGCCTTGTTTCATGTATACTTAACGAAATATAGTAGTCTTTACATTTCATTGAAAAATTTTCAATCAGCAATTATATCTATATTTATCGTGGAAAACTCACCTCCTGTATGTGTAATCTTTCGAAGAAATTGAAAAATATAACGTAAAATTATAAATTATAAAAAAAAAAAGACGAAATAAGAAAGTGTTATGACATCGTGATAGATTAATTGCGTTCAGAAAATATAACGGTTGCACCACGGTTGAGTAATTCGTCGACATAATTGGTCTAAATTTACGGGATCTAACAGTAAAGACCGATAATCACTGACCGCTCACTGATCGCTTGTGTTTTCTGAACGCAGCCGTTATAAGCACAAATACTACTTTTACTACGACAATAACAATGCTCCCCGCGACTTGAGAGAATCTTTACGATAATATTTTAACACCGTTTAAAGATAATACTTCTACTACTACCTACTACCACTATTACTACTGTCTACTGCTAATTTGTGTGAAGAGCTAAACGTTTTCTGACACTTGAAATGTTTATAACACTATGTACAATATGTCATGTCATATTAAACCCACGGTAGATACGGATGCGGAAATAGAAGTTTAGCGAAGACTAGTTAGATTTTCTTTGTTTGTTGTGTAAGGACGAAGCTGTGGAAGGTGCTCTGCGGGAGATAGGGCTTTTATAGGTACTTCGTACTTTGCATGAGCTTCACGGACAAAATATCGACCCACACGATCGGCTGAAAAACCAGAAAGGGCTTACCCGCTGCATGATGCCAAAACAAAAAATTACGGCTCTACTGTGTCAGATAAATTTTCAAGGCAACTCTACTAATCGTACACAGATCGTTTCAGGCATCGTGCACTTCCTTTCGGCCGCAAGACCTTTGATAAATTCCATACCCCCCCCCGTGAATGAAAATTTGCACACAACTAGATAAGGAAGTTTTTACAAAAGAAGAAATAAAAAAGAGAACAAAGAAAACATGATGCCTAAAGCGTTCTGTGTACATCGACATATTTTTATATCGAGAAAAATCGTCTTCTGCGTATCGAGTAAAGTGTTATGTTACTAACCAAAGGCTGAACTCTACAGTTTTCAATTCTTAGTTATGACTTTTAACGTACATACTACTAACGAAACGGCGATAGTTGTGCTCCGTACTTTAGTCTTCAACTCTGGCAATAAAACTGTCTGTATCGATAAGTTATTTTTATGAGAAGATTGTACATGTGCTGTATTTTGAAGAGCGTCAGTATTAATGCGACTACATATAATAGAATACATACATACATATATATTTCTTACGTATTTATCTCCACTTACTTAAAAAGCATTACTCTAATTAATCAGCAATTCAAAAACTTATCTTTATACACTTTATACATATATATACATATATATATATATATATACGTATACATACATGTATATGTTATACATAAGTAGTAATGTCAATTTCTAATGTCATTATATTACCGATACGCTAAGTGTACTAGTAATAAATATATAGAATGTGATCTTTAGTGTAATTGAAAGTGAACACGCGCACGTAATATACCTCTTCTGTTATCAGCCTATACTAATCAGACTCAAACACAAGTCTCAGGTAAAAGTAGCACCGTGCATCTCGAGTTGGTTTGTTGGAAGTTGGTTGTTTACTTGGGGAATGGTAACCTTGCGAGATTCGTAAAAGTGCAATCCTTCGTTAGCTCTGTAAGCTAGATATTTTCCTGATATATGCGTTCTGTACCTGCGAATTGCATTTCACTCCCCTATCACATTTCCGGAGGATACTCCACAAATCAACACGTTGCATGTAAAACAAGCAATTTTTTCTGTCGCTTGAGATTTCAGTCGAGGCAACCGAATAAATATACGTTTTTTTTTATTACCCATACACAAATATTGAGGTATTTGCTCATATGAAAAGGGTTCAGTTCACCATTTGAAGCTGCATCAAGAAGAGAGTTTTATTATAAAGTAGGTACGTGTATACATACGTTTATATATGTGTATATATATATATATATATATTATATGTATATAATAATTTCTTTCGTAATACATTTTTTATTGAGTGCAGCGTCAAAGTAATTGATCCCTATTCATATTATTCTAAAGCCGATTCCGAGTGTAACACTGACAAACTTGTTCTCGTGTCTGTTGCAGGAAGAAACTCCTCAGGGATTCTTCGAGGATCATGGACTGGGATAATATTCTTCAAAGCGCGCATACATGAATGTCGTAAGTGTACATTCCTGCACTTTTGTTCTACCATTCCGCGTTGACGCATTTCAAAAGATTAGATAAATATATGTACGTACGTATGGGTTTTGGTGCAGACATACTTGCAGTTGTCAAATTTATTATTTTCATAATACATCAGAAACAAACATACACAAACACACACATACATATAAATCATTCCATATTTTTTGAAGCTACAGGTCCTTTTGACTCCGATATTTCGCGCATCTTTTTTGCATATTACTTTAATTAGCTATATTTACATCAATATATAATAGTGACACACACAACTGAACATGTTCCAATAGACACAAGTAAATTTGCCATCCTACATATTTTTCACTTTTGCGTCTTTATTGATAAAAAAATAAGGTAAAAAGAAAATTAAAAAAAACTTTCCTCGAGTGGCGACGTATACAATCTGAAAACTTTCATTGTTTATTGAATGAGAAAGAATGACAAAATGTTTTGACATTATCAACGCGATAACGTAAAATTCCGTGCTTTTTTGACATATCACATAAAATAGAAAAGTAAGATTTCGGTGAAGGATTTCTTATTTTTCTTAATTTTACCGACTTTTTTTTAATAAAAGAGAGTAATTGCGGAAATTATCTATTTATATAACAGTATGAAACGTTATAATTAGATAAAATGAAGTTACATGTAAGCTAATCAGATCAAGTTTAAAACCTTGTTTATACATAATCACTTGTTACGCGAGATGTGATGTATTGTTAATTAAATATCATATATATTCTGTATTACATAATATATCATTAATGAAATTCCGGGTATTTCTCTGAAACCTACATATAGATATGCTATAATGCTATAATAGATATGCTCTATAATAAGTGTTGTCACACACACACACACACACACACACACATTTTTAATCAATGTTAAAGAGGAAAGTTGAATATAATCTAATATAGTATAACGAGGGCAAGCTCTGTTGGAATGTATTGAGAGATATACAGACTGTGCCAGAGAAAGATGGGAATCAATAGCTGGCGTTTATTCTTTAACGATATTCGAGGTGGTTTATTAGTAAATGTCGAAGTTGGTATAAAACATTCTCATTCTTATTATTATCGTCACATCATTGTTATTATCACATATATGATGTTTCCCATGTCACTATAGAGTTAAAGGAATATTTGATTATATTAGTATTTACTGTAATCTTTAAATTGCGTACTGTGCGTATATACGCACTGTACAAGTTGCGTCAACCTCGCCAGATTCAATTTTTTAATAGTAATTCGTTAGAAAAATTAAGTGCAATAGTACGCATTCTCTCATTATAGAATTACATCACACCCTATATTTTCATGAAGCTTGAAACGCGTCTTTACGTGGCATAGCGAAAGAGTAAAAATTATCGATTTCCGTGTCCACTTGTTGAAACTAATCGAAATATTTTGTAACGTAATTATATGTCGTTAAGCTGTGCGATTGAGGTGTTTAAAAATCTCGCATTTCTACGCTCACGAGATACTTGCCGTATCAAAGATCAGACAATAAATTAAGTATGTGCGAAAATAATCGCTTGTAGCATTTTACATGCGTCACGCGACACGCGTAAACATATATAACACACTACACATATCCGATTTTCAATCTTACGTGTTTACGAACAGTATTTCTGTTTCGCCATCGTGTAGATTGAAAATTGTTAAGACCTCAAGAAGATAGGCATTATACCGTTAGACGATAAAAAAAGAAAAAAGCTTTGCGACTTATCCCTGTCTGTCTTTTTTTATAACTTTATTAAACTTCGTTACACACACGCACACGCACAACATATACCGTGGATGTCGATATTTAAGTAGCGTTAGGCCACGATAACGTACTTAAAACTATTGCGTTTCAAGGCCATCTTATTTTATATTTTATGTTTCCCTTTTATATATATATATATATAACCAGCAACATTCAATATCGTCCTTGCACTTGGTTATAATTACGCAAGCGAGATGTCATACTTTCTTGCGTTAAGCTTACACACCAACGTCGGAGTGTTAGCGTGTATATTTTGTCGGGAACAAATCAAAAGTAATTGTTAAGTTATTATCTTCATTGTGCTATCCGGCAGGATAACTAATAATACTCGACAGAACTGTAGGAGCGTAAAATAAGACTTTATCGATGTTAAGAACATGAGATATGTATTACGTATTAATACCGAAGTGTTGCATTGACAAACGACGATGCTTTGTGCTCCGTCCAAGATAAATAAAATGTATAAAAAAAAACACCTCACGCGCGTTATTACGTTTCACGTTGTGAGCGTATCTCTGCGATACGTGTCGGATGTGTACCGATTTAATTTCGACCGTATGTTTTTCTACAAAATCTCGAACGAGAGTGACATTTGTTACATTTATCCTGCACGTTCCATCATTGTTTACGATGATTGTTGCGCGCACATACAGCATAAACAAACGCGAACGCAATACATGTCGCAGGTATCATAAGTTATCCTCTCTGTCTTTCCTTCGGACTCTGGTCAATTTCGGCAAAATCGGAAGCCGTGGCTGACGTCGCTCAACATATTCGTGCCCTATGAGGAACTATTGTGCGACCGTAAATGCGTCACAAGCCTACGCGTTGTGTCAGAGGTCGTGCGACCTTCGGCGCGCCAAGGTCGCGTCAACCTTTTGCGCGCGCTATATTGTATGATTTATTTAATTATTTAACTCACCCTAAATTGTGAATTAGACGTTGTTACACACGGGGTACATTATAATACTCAATTATTTAACGCGTCCGCGCCGACCGGTGTCCGCGCGTTAAATTATATAACCATCGGTCGTCGAAACGTTACGGTTACAATTAAAGACTCAGGAAAAAATTATTATTTATTATTATATATAATTATATAAAATCATACGTGAATTTTTGCTCATATATGTGGCCACATATATATGATTATATGTATTTATACGAAAAAAAAAAAAAAGAAATGTCGTTTAATTAAATGTGCTGTTAGAAGGACAAATGTAGCCAGAAGTATTTACTCCGATTGTACTTGCATCATAATTTGTAAACAACAGTATTTTTTCGTTGTAGACACATATGATTGTACATGGTTGTATGGGCGAATTTCACACATGATCTTTTTTCTTTCCCGTGGAAGGGAAACCGCAACAATTACGTGCATGAATGTCGAAAAATCTAACAATACTCGCGCTCCTCACAACGCACCACCTAGAAACGCGTGCGCGATTACAACAGTGGTTTATAATAACGGTGGTTTGATACACACACATGCACATGTAGCATGCATCTGCCGGCCGTATTGAAATTTAAACCCGTTTCATTCACGTTCGATCGCACAATAGAACGCCCGGCGAGATATAACTTTATAATGTCCGTCAATGTAGGCATGTGCGGCAGACGGTTTAATGAATACAACGGACGTGACAGAGATGTGAAAATGCGTGCCACCCCCTCGTTTCCGTTATTGAAAAATCCCGCAAGGCGTTCTGCCTCTCCCCCTCTCTCTCTCTCTCCCTCGCACTCGCTCGCTCCTTTGCGCGCGCGGCGACTCTCTACCCGCGATTCACGCGGCTCATTGTAAACGTCGCCGATCGCATATATCCCGGACATGTATCACGGGCGCGCGCGATGTACAATGCGACGACGGCCGTCGCGAATAATAGGCCGCGGTCTATTATCGAGGAAGAGCAACGGAGGTAGGCGCAGGAGAGAGACGATTAAATGGGACGTTACGCTTTCTCGGCCGCCGCTCGCTTGCTCCGCAACGTCTTTGCGGAATATGAGAACGCCCTGAAAAAAATCAGAGATTCTCCTCAGAGAGAGAGAGAGAGAGAGAGGAGAAAAGAAAGAGAAAGACAAAGGCCCCGTGCGTGCGACGGGACCGCGCGTCCGCTCGTCGCCGCGGAATCGTAAACCGGGCCTGCTGAACGGAGTCGAATTCGTCTCGATTATTCGCACATCTCGAGGCCGGGAAGATTGAGGCTCGACTACGTCGAGCGGCGCCGGCAGAGTTCACCGCAGGCAGATGTACTCGACAGCGTCGCGGGCGCGAGGAGGACGAAGATGGACGACGGGATCGCGCTGCGTCGGCGCGCGAGAGGAAACGTTGTGCGACGTCGTAGCGCACGCGGCACGCGTATCGGTTTCCCATCACTGACGTCGCTCTCGACGCCATCGCCGCCGCCGTCGTCGTACGTACGTACGTACACCGTCGTCGACGATCGCTCGTGTCCGGACTCTGCGCGCGTCCGCGCCGCGTACGCTGATCCTACGCGTGACAAGCGCGCGAGAGAGAACGCGAATTGATCGCCGCGCGCGGACGAACGTGCGAACGATAACGCGAGAGAGAGAGAGAGAGAGAGAGAAGTATCTGCGGTGCGACGGTGGAGAGTTCCTTGAGAGAGACGCTCTCGTCGTCCATCGAGCGTCATCGCTCGAAGAGATCCGGTGGTGTGGTGTGTGCGCGCGCGCGCGCGCGCTCTCTCTCTCTCTGTCCTCTCCTCGCTCGTTCGCGTTGTGATCGCCGTACCTGGAAGCGAACGCTGCGCGCTTCCCCGCGCGTCGTCTGCGAGAGGACCCAGCGGAGCGACCGGACGTCGCTGCGCCGTCGAGAGTCCGTTTGCACCGTCGGACACCGGGTTGCCTCCTGAGAGCGTTCTCGCCTCGGAGAAACGGGAAACCGCGAAGAGGCGGCCGGGAGACTGCAAAGCGACCGACGAAGAAGAGAAAGACGTCATCGTCGCGCTACCAGTGCTGGGGACAAGCGAGAGTACTCTCCCTCTCTCTCTCTCTCTCTCCCCCCCTCTTAGCCCCGATCCAAGCGTTGATTGTCGCGAGAGAGCGAGAGAGACCGCAGGGTGAGAGGATGGAAGCCACGGACGGTCGTGGTGGTCGGCGAGCAACGACGAGGAGGCATCGTCGCGCGGCCCGTCATACGTGAGAGCTCGGCGGCGAAGGTAAAGAGCGAGAGAGTAAGAGAGAGAGGGAGAGCAAGAGAGCACGCCCTTGCGTGGCTCTCTCGGAAGAGGGCGGTGGAGGGCGGTTTGCTCTCGTCGCTCGGCTCGGCTCGGTACGGCGGCCCCCCACATGACGCCCCACTTAGGCCGTTAGGGCAGCAGGCGCACTCGCCGCCACTGGTCACCGGTGGCGGTGACGAAAAGGGGCTGATGTCAGTGCGACCACTCGGCGGCGTTCGCTCGGTTCGTCAGTTCGGATGCGCGATATCGCACGCATCGGCGTGCCGCGTACGAGGCGAGCGGGACTCCCGGCGAGGACAACAGCGGGCTCAACTACGGGGATCGGCAGCGCGGTGATGCCTGCGGCAGCGGCCGCGTGCAGCAGCGAGTCGCGATCGGTAGTGGTTGATCGGCGAGTCGCCGCGCGATTCACGACGACGAGGAAGAGCAAGTATTATCTGACGCGCGCGATCGTGGCTGCGTCGATCGCGTCGGTAGGTCGAACCGAGTGGCGCAGCCCGAGAAATAATGCGTGTTAGGCACGAGGACGACGACGACGACGTGAAGACGCGCCGAGTACCGAGACGACGACGGCGGTACGACGACGCGAGCAGTAGTAGCGTGCCATCATCGGCGACGAGAACGGCGGCGAGCGGCGAGAAGAGGAAGAAGAAGAAGAAGAACAACAACAACAACAACGAGCTTCGACGACCACTGCTGTTACTACCGCAGCAGCTGCAACGGCAGCGCAATTATGTACGCGTCGTACGGTACCGAGATCACATAGTGATCCGCTTGTAGTTATGTTGTTGTCATCGTCGCGCGGCGCGACCTGTGCAGTAGATCTTCACAGTGAAAATCTGGCGTGAGCGGTTCCGCGGTGGAACGGGGAATATGGCGTCGGTCTCGGCCGAGACTCCAGCCAGCCATGGGCACAGCTTCAGTAAGAAGACGTTTCATAAACCGACGTACTGCCATTGCTGCTCGGACATGCTCTGGGGCCTGATACAGCAGGGGTACATCTGCGAAGGTAAGGGGCAGGAGGGGGAGGAAAACCGCGGCTACGTGCTCGAGCGACGACGTCGAGTGCGATCGTAGACAGCGAGAGAGAGAGAGAGAGAGAGATCAGGCAGCGGCTTTTCTAGACGAGTCTCCCGTGGGGAGCAGCGCGCGTATCTCTCGATCTCGTCGTCTTGTCCATGCCGGAGTATGCGCAAAAAGCTCCGCGAGACGCACGAATGTGTCTCGGGAGATGCTCGCACGCTCCCGAGCTTCGTTCTCCACTTCTCTCTCTCTCTCTCTCTCTCTCCTCACGGGCAAGTGTCCTGAGAAGAACCTTCGGAGGTCTGTCTCTCGTCCCTTCTCCGTCTCGGTTCTCGCGATTTTGCCGTTGCGGAGAAACGATGTCTCGGAGAGAAAACAGGAAGAGAGGCGCGCGCGCGCTCGTTAAAGTTTCAAGCGAGCGCCGCGAGACCCAAACACAACCGTGACGATCGATAGTCGCGACCGGTAACGGCACGGATAATCGCAGATGCTCGGGGGATGCCTGGGGATCTCGCACGGTATAAACAGGTCGGGGATTATCGGCGATCGACCGCCGATTCGCCCCGATGAATGGCGGGCAAGTAGGTTGGAGCGAGACCGGAGAGGGGGGCGGGCCAAGAGTGTGGGCAGCGGGTGCGCTCGTTCCCTCGAGTGCTCCGCGCCGCGGAGGCATTTCCACGCTGGCGCCTATTCGTGACGGGCGGACAACACGCCGCGCCGCAACCGTGGATCGGGTAATAGCGCGAGAGGGAGGAGGAGAGAGATTCTCGCGTAGAGAGAAAAATGGAAAGAGAAAACAGGCGGGAGGCAGAAGGGGAAGAGACGGAGGTGGAGACAGTGGCGACGGCGACGATGTACGTGGATCGCGCGCAGAGGGCGCGAGCGCGAACGCGCGCCCACATTTTCACGAGCATTGATCGCGAGGGGTGGGGTAGTATGGCTGAAGACTACGGATAAGGTTGCCGAAGTAGCGTAGAGGGGTGCGGGCGTTCCGCGGCGACGGTGGTGGTGTCCGGCGGCAAAGAGGGTTGCCTCGAGGTGGGGGCAAGTGTGAGAGCTTGCTGACAGGCAAAGAGGCGTAAAGAAGCTTCGTTGTAACGCCGCGAACTGAACAAGAGAGAGAGAGAGAGAGCCATGTCCGCTTCGCGTTCTTTTCAGAATATATTGGAACGTTCGATCGAGGGAGAGAAAGAGGGAGGGAGGGAGAAAGAGAGAGAGAGAGAGAGAAAGCGTTATTTATTCAGCGCGCTCTGGGATGAACCCCCTCGAGCGCACAAAGAGGATAATATGAAATTATAGATTATAATTACGGTGGGTAGTGATCAATTTTCTCATGGAAATAACTCGAGTAAAGACGGTATAATGATGAAGATGACGCTGTGATTGTGATAGTTATAATAATAATAAAAAAACGTATTAAAAAATAATATTAATGAGTGAGAATACACACAAATAAGGAAGGCAGGGATATGAATAGATATACCAGAGGGAAATGCACGCGAGATTACGGTCGAGATATGTAAAGAGGTATCTTAGGACTTCGGTACATAAAGATGTCAACGAATGAAATCTGTATATTACCGCGTTCTGTACACAATGATGATTGATAAAGTGCAACTTCGAACCAGCTTGATTGAGCTCTTTGTGTCGGCAGAAGCAAGATAATTTTATACCTCGGCAAACCTTCTAAAAGATCGCTTGAAAACATCGGTTTTACATTTGAACGGTGGCAGAGAGCCACACTGATATCCTTGATTGTTTTTAATTCCGCGCAAAAAGAAAGAGGAACGATTGGATATATCGAGCGTGATGTGTCTCGATAATCGCTCGCGCGATATTGGATTCAGAACAACTTGAGTCTGTCGTAGATGATGAGCTTGTTTATAAAAGTGTGTATAGATATTCCTAGAAGGACGCAAGATTGATAGATTTAGCAGTTGATTCTTTCCCCCTCCCTTTCTCTCTCTCTCTCTCTCTCTTAGTAAAAGGTAGTCCTTATCTACAATCTTGCTTTAATACGTAAGCAAATTGACTAATCATTAGTCGCTTATTAGAAAAATAATCGAGCATGGTTAGTCAATATGCTTATGTATTAATGCAAGGTTATAGATAAGGGCTTACTCAATATCAGTAAAATGTTACACGAACCAGATTGTAGATTCAGTTCCTTCTCAGAACGAATCCGCCTTTGCGACTGTCAGTACGCGAGATGCCACCAGAGCCGGTGCTCCTCTCATCCGGCGGCTTCAGCCGCCTTGAAAACTTCTTTTATAGTCACGCCAGAATGAAAAAAGTTGGCGCTCGCGTTTGGTCGCTTCGCTGTTATGTCGATTTTAATCTCTCGCTACACGAGTCGTTTCACGGATAGACATTTATACGCGCAAAAGGTGGTCCTTGTAGATAAAAAAGAAAAAGAATGTCTTACATCAGTTCGCATCGTGCGTGTGTATGCGATCAGAGGTCTGATATTTGTCGGATAAGCGATCGTGCTGCCTAGCTTCGCTACATACGGCTGTGTTTCAACATTGACTCAACCGCCAATTAAAAGATATATCCGCACCTCAGATAGCGTTTTATCAGACTGTCTTTTATCCCCCCCCCCCCGAAAGAAAAGAAAAAAACGCACGAGGTTCCACTTATTAATAACTGTACATGCCGCGTGAAGAAGCCTCGTGAAAAAATCCCGTAGCTGTGTAGTCGCCGTAGTAGTCCGCGCGCGCGCGTGGCTCAAAGACGCGTTATTTTTAATAAACCGGAAATGTGATACACTCTCGAAACGTGTACGTGCGCGTTGAGGATCGTTACGAACACCTTAAAACGATCCGTGAATGGATTCTTCCGCGGCGGACGACGGGGCGACATTGTTCGCGTGGCGATTAAGATTGACCCCGACCGATGTTGTACCGGCGAATAATCGAGAATTATTACATCGAAGACGCGATTCCCGCGCGAAACTTCCGCAGCTTCGAGGAGGATTTAGACGTTCAGGCGCAACACCTCGCGCTCGCACATCTATGGTGGTGTCTCTGCGCGATGTATTTTTAAGAGAGAGAGACAATTTAACTCGAATCGATCGTTACGTACTTGTCGCTTCCGTTTCCCCCCTGACAGCAACCTGTTAGGGAACACACAGACGAAATCGACGTTACTTTACGAAGTAACACCGATGGATTTCCCTCCCGTCTTTTTTTACATTCGTCTATTTCGCAAACGCGAGACATCTTCCAGCTCGCTGGCGGACCTCCCTTTCTCGCGATAATGACGAATATTTCTTTTCGATTTATAAACTACCCACTCGAAGAGTTAAAGTTAACTCGACATTCGTGGCACGACGGTCGATCGTCCGATGGTGCTGGCCGATGGCGTCTTCTTAACGAAGCGGATGCATAATACTATTTCGGGATGCACCTGCGCGCCGATGCGACAAATTTCCCACATCTTGCCTGATTAGCGCCGCAAGAGCGCGACAGGACTCGATCATTATTATTTGCTTTCGCGGGGAAATATATATATAATATGCGAAAATGTACGCTATCTTGGATCTCTCTCTCTCTCTCTCTCTCTCTCTCTCTCTCTCTCTCTCTCTCACCCATTCACTCAATTCTAACCCCAGCGATATAAAAACACCGCGGGCTGTTGAACCTCATTGGGGGATCTATCAGAGGTACCTGTAAAAATAAACAGGGACGCGTTATTTTCGAAAGTATATACGTCCGCACGATTCGAAGAAACGCGCATGTTCTTCGCCCAAGTTCGAGTACTTGGGAACACGCGCGAGGGAGGAGAACTTGGCTTCAGCCTCCGCAAAAGTTCCGCGATCTGCCGGACGAATATCCGCGAGATCACGGCGATCAAACGCGACGGATCTCCCCAAACCGTGCATGATTCCCGACGTTTTTGCTGACATCGCGGGAAAGGTCAGAAGATCTTGTTATAAATTACGACACGAGTGAAGTGATATTGATTTACGTTGCGGTGCATCACCGCTTATTTCACACGGTCCTCACCGCAATCGGTCTCGCGTGTGTCTCGAACGCGGCGTTCCTCCGCTCTGTCCTCTGAATGTTCACTTTCTTCTCTGTTGGCAGTGTGTAACTTCGTGGTGCACGACCGCTGTCTCAAGGCCGTCGTCTCTCCCTGCTCCAGTATCGCGGCAAGCCTCATCAAGGTAAGATACACACCGCGCGATACACATGTATGTACGCGCTTCGCCGTTTGTTAACCCAGAGTTCACGCAGCTTCTTCATATTGTTGCAGAACCCGGTTGCACATTGTTGGTCCGAACAAGTACATCGTAAACGGAAATTCTGCAACGTCTGTCGGAAACGATTGGATGACAATCCATCCGTACATTGCGAAAGTAAGACGACGTTTTACGTTTGTTACGACCGTAGCCTGAATTCGTTATTCAATAATTGCGGAAGCTTTCCATTTGAGTTTCTAAGCGCCCTTCTTCCGCAAAGGGCTTCCTACAATAAGCCGTTAATAACATAGATCAGAAGTAAGGAGCGAATACAAGCGAATCGGTAGTGTGTCGTAAAGCAGTAACAAGTCCAGTGATCAGTGACGTGGAGGGAGTCAAATGGAGATGGCCAAATTCCATTTCTAGCCAATCAAAAAGCAACATATGTCTGCCGTTTTTATCGAAGCAAGCGACTACCACCGCATCATGAAAATTAAGAGACGCAGATCCTAAGCTGGTTTTAAGATTCTTCAAAGGCCTGAGCCTGCTCAACATTTGAGAAAGAGCTGAATCACGATAGGTCTGGTTAGGTCACAATGGACAGTCCGGTGTTACGTTGCCTCAAGCCCTCAACCTCCGTAGTAATAAGAGTAATACCGTCAATGTCTGATACGAGTGATGACTAATGGCTTGTTGTAAAAAATCCCGAAAACGTCCGTCGCCTAAGTGTTGGTTCGTAGTAAAAACGGAGAACCGTTTGTTTTGCCGTAGTATGCGAGTACTTCGTGCACGTAGAATGCCAAGACTTCGCAGTGGCAGACTGCAAAGAGAACGCTACGTACTTACCTGGAAGGGATCTAGCAGCGGTGAAGCACACTCATCATTGGCGGGAAGGCAACCTTCCGAGCAGCTCCAAATGCGGAGTGTGCAAGAAGGGTTGCTTTTCTGCCGAGTGCCTGTCCGGATTCCGATGCGAATGGTGCGGCATGACGGTAAGAGAAAGAGATCTATATATATATTTTTTCCCTGTCCTTATTTCCAAGAGAGACACGTTAAGTCGTATTTCGAATGTATATCGAATTGTGCGTGTTTGTTCTCTCGCAGCTACACGCGTATTGTTACAAGAATATCCCCCAAGAATGCACCTTCGGCAACTTGGAACCCATATATTTGCCACCACATGCAGTTAGTATTCCGCGCACCGAAGTTCCCATGGAAGCCATCATCGGTGTGCAAGTGCGACGTAAAGAAGTGCTGGCGCGTGAGTATTCTTGCCGTAAGTGTCTTCCCGTGTAATTACCGATGTGCGTGTTAACAGGTAATTAGAATAATGGAATGAGGAGTTGCGCTTCATCACTCCGTGCCGTGCGCGAAGCACTCTAATATTTTATTAATCAACGCGAATATATACTTCGGTTATTGAAGCAGCTCTCATTCGCTCAAGAGAATATACCTTGAGCTAATCAGTCAGGCTGAAGCGCGAGAGATTGTGAGAGATTGTCGAGAGGTCTTCTCATTCTAATAAAGCAATAGACACACTTGACAAAACGTAGTTATGCATAAGCATATCGATGCTGTTATACAAATGGAATCTGTTGTTGAATATTTGTGTTAAAATTGCGTGAAATAGAAATGCTCGCATTGACAGTTACGCAATGCACGCGATTATTTGTAGGTACACACGTGGGCAATTATGATTTTGTGTGCGTCTCGTGTATATATGCGCGAACAAATGCACCATTTCCGGACTAGAGGATGATGCCTCCGCAAGCGATATCGATATATCAGACTCAGATAACAAATAATGGCAGAAGTGTTACGTTGAGAGCTTCTCTAGCTGCATCGTCCAATCGAATATTTCATTAATTATTGCGTTTTTTACTTGCGCATAGCAAATCCCATGATTTGAATTGGCGCTTTATAACGTTTATTAAATCGAATTTTTTTCCCCTTTTTTTTTTTTGTTCAAGCACATTAGTACTTCTTCACTCATTGATACGTATTAATTATTTTTTACACTAGGTATTAAATGTATAAGTTACACACGTATGAGATTTTATATCTATCTTTACTACGCATAGCACATGTACACGTACGCATATACGCACCAATAATTGATAACGACAAATGTTGCACATTGTACTCTAAAGTCAAAAAGAATGTGCAATATATGAAACATTCTTCTCTTTCTCTCTCTCTCATATACCAGTAGAGGTACATATTTATAAAGTTATAACCTATTTTCTGGATCACAGATTTTTGCATGATACTGTTTTAAACATTTATTCACGCGTGTATAAATACCGTCAATTTGTAAACATATACATGTTCTTCCTTTTCAGAGCATGCAACGTTGACTTTCTTCGATATCACAAGCGAGTAAAGTCCTATCTGTATCCTAAGAAATGATTGCCTCAAACTTTCATCATTTTGTTTTATCGTAAAGTGAAAATTTATGTCTTTTACATTGTTTATTATTAATAGCCAAAATTTATGAACGATTGTCTAATATTTTACACAAATATTTTTCTATTCACAATTTCTCATACTCTCAGCCTTCCATACATGTACATGTGTATTATTCATACAGGGATTAATAGTTTATTTTTTCGCGTTTCGTATTATATAAAATACGGCCGCACCGATTAATGATCATAAAATCGATAATACAATTCAATTATTTATCTCTCTCTCTCTCTCTCTCATCGAATATACATGAAAATTTACAGTATCCCTCAACGTGAAAAGAATAAAAATTTATAAATCTGTTTATTGTATAGTTCTTGTCCTTGTATTCAAAGTTCTAAGGAAATTTGTAACTATAATTGTACAAACTTCCATAAGCAGTGATAAAGAGAACTACACCTGTTATATCAATTATTTTGTGTTCACAATTATAAATCATCAGTGGCTTTTGTGGCTGATCGCTCCTCTTGCGATTAATCGCTACTCTCAACGTGCTTTCAATAGGCATAAAGTATTTTCACAGATGCAACACTTATTTCAGGTAGCTTTGTAATTAGATAGATATTGGATAGGATAATATATTTCGCGCGGTCACAAAAAGAGAAAGCTATGAACACAGCTGACGAAACTTACAAGAGAGACTTCTTTTCGAAGCGGTTTGATCATTTGATATCGTAGAAAATAAGCGTCTTTGTCTGATAGTGATTAAATAAATTGGACGATAAACACAAGGCATAATGAAGCATTACGAAAATATCGTGAAACAGAGAAACGAAATCTTTATAGATTTCATTACACAAATTACGGTGACCGTTAAAATATTCGGTCTTTTCTTCTATGTGAAGATAACATCGGAGAGCAATTCGATTTCGCTGAGAGTGAACAAATTGGGGCTGCTAGGCTGTCAGACCGCCTAGCCGAAGCTTTGAGGCGCCTTTCGCTAGTTTTGCCACGTAGCTGCCGTGGAAATTGTCATGCTTCCCCTCCCTATGTTCGAGGTATCTAGAATATAATCATCGTCATTCATCTGTGTGAACGTATTCGATTCTAAGATGTATACTACATACGTACATACATACATACGCGCGCGCGCGCGCGCACGCCCACACACATACACACACACACACATATGTGCATACATAATACATATAAATCGTACAAGACTGAGAGTGAATTGGAATATGCCGTAGTGATCTCATCGCTGTTGTTACCTCTACTTGTAACTCGACTTACTCAACACATGCATCTGTTGACTGAGAGAGCTATATTAAAAAGATACGCAAACGTGTTTATTTATGCATTTTTTCCCTTAATTTTGCGTAACAGCAATGCGAATACATTTTTAGCTGGCTTCTGTCATACTTTCAACACTAATATCGAGCGACATTCTACATTATAGTTTCCGACGACTCTGACAAGCAATACGATGCTATTTACGTGAACTCACTTGAAGAAGTAGGATAAAGATGACATGTTTGTCGAAAGTACATAGTAGATATCGTCACATTGCCTATACTGGATTTGTAATAAATTGTCACACATGCGACATGCGTTTTTTATATAAATATCATGGTGCACCAATCTTTTCGTTTATGTATGTTATTTTGTTATACTGTTTACGTTTTAGCATGTATGTATGTCTCGCTTCGGTGCATGCACTGTCATTCAGCCCACTGGATGCTATGAGATTCCATGATGCTTATCACTCTACTATGCAGTGAAATGAAGTTCAAGAATACTACTGACTAATTCTTCCTATCGTGTGTGTGTTCTGCAAACCCATCGTAAATAATCGATGGTAAGAGATGTGATTTATTCTTGAATGATAAACAGATTCGTTACTACGCTCTCTTCTTGCTTACAAACCACTCTCGAGAGTAAATTCATTCGTTTTTTCTATCGAAGTAATGCACGTATCTCTTTCCTCGATACTCGCACACAAATTTGCAATTTATTCATTACTGTATTAAAAAAACCAACGATAATATATAATAATGCAATTAATGAGAATAGTAATGAATAATTCGAACAACTTGTACGCGGAATTGCTAATTGCAGAATAAAATCCTTGTAAGAGCTGCATCGAATATTCTATATATGTTATTCGTATTAGAAACGCTTTTCCTTATTGACACCATTAATGTTATCTGAGTAATGGTTGTAAAAAGAAAACAAAAAATATAAGGGAAGAGAAAAGACTTCCACATTAAGATCTAGAGATGCGCTCGACGGAAGAAGATGTATTATATAATTCGATTTACTCCGTCGTATATCATAACAAAATGCGTTAATGATGTCCTAAGCGAAAACGCTTCTTCCTCTGTTTACAGCGCGGAGCATATCAGAAGAGTTCAGTAGCGATGCGAAGTACCGTGACAACGGGGAGCCGGCGCAGTGTACGCACAGTCGAGATCCACGTTCTCCTAAGGAGAAAGACGACAAAGAAAGAGGTGACGAAGGTATTTCAATACAACTCCCGATTAGCAGTCGCGGGATTTTCTCCCCTCTTAATTTGAAAATCTTTGCCGTTTGTCAGCAGAGATGATCAAGGTGTACGATGGCGACAACTCTCTGAGGCGACGGATATTTCGGGTGATCTCGGTGCCCAGGCAGGCTACGACAGAGCAGGTTCTCACGTCGGCACTGCGTGCTTTTCACATTACGAAAGATCCTAGTACGTGAAATATTTCCTAGCTTTAACACAACTGTATAAATTCCGTTCGATAAATTCGCCGACCGGTCTAATGAGTTTCTCTTTCTCTCTCTCTCTCTCTCTCTCTTTCCCGCTCTTCTCGTTCCGCTCGGCGATATTCAGGCAATTTTTACTTAACCGACCTGTACGCCACCGAGGACAAGGAGCTGTGCGACCCGACGCCTGTCTTAAATTTAAATCGCAAAGAAGGCAAACGTCCGGCTGTGTTCTTACGATTTAAGTGAGTTCACGCTGTATTCTCTTAATTATGACCTATATGTGTGTGGGTGTGTGTGTGTGTTTGTGTGTGAGCGAGCGAGCGCACGCTCGAAGAGAGAGCATTTTAATACAAAACGCGCGAAATTGATGTAATTTCAGAAATAACAACAGCGGAGAGGTGCGAGTGTATCCTGGCAAACTGCAGGTGTCAGAGTTCTTCTGTATAGTACCTGTCACTGAGAAGACAACGGTCGCCGATTTAATAAACGAGGCGCTGGGGAAGTTCGGTTTAGAAGATTTCAATTGCGACGATTACAGGTGCAGCGAGGTTCTGTTGGATCATGGTGGTAGGTTCCAAGTTCTTCATTCAGTTTGGCGTTCGCGCGAGATACGCCGGGTATTCGGTATATTCCTCGAAGTCCTCTCTCCTTCTCTTACCTCCGTGTGTTGTGCGTGAGATTAAATCAGATCTTGATGTTCGCCAGTGACGGAGAGAGTTTTGTCCCTGGACGAAAAACCCTGGGACATCGTCAAGCAACTGGGGAAGGATTCTATCAGACAAATGGAGCTGATGCGGTTTTACTTGCAACTGAGGCAAGATCCCCACGGACCTAATCTGGCTTTATTCGTGGGCAACTTACCACCAGGTCTCACCCAAATACGCTATGGGGACATATTAAGAGAAATTTTAGGAAAAGGTTAGTGATCCTGTGATGAATATATGTACGTGCATATCTACAAAAATTAATACACGCAAATATACACACGCTTAAACGTGGCTAATTTCGATTGTTTAGAAAATAAATTCGAGCTTGGCCCAATTTATTACGAATACGGTTCGGTGGTTATCATATACAAAGATTCCGATCAGGCGGTTAAAGCGTTATACACGTTGCGGGAATTGAAATACGAAGACAAGCAACTTCTAGGTATCTATATTTCAATATATATATTTTTTTTAAACTGAAATCCAGAGACTATATTGACACATACGTAACATGCATTTTTCTGTTCTTCTTCTAGTAATGCTTTTACCGAATATCGAGCCGAATATGGTACCATCGGGCGTACAACCGTTGCTCGTATTCGTAAACGTAAAATCTGGCGGTTGTCAAGGACTTCAACTAATTTCTAGTTTTCGTAAACTGTTAAATCCTTATCAGGTGTTTGATCTTGACAACGGTGGACCTTTACCCGGGTAAGCACGCACGTTTTAAATATGATGATGAAGTGTGTGTGTCGAAATATACGATATAACTGCGCAAAAAGAAGTTAGAGAGAGAGAGAGAAAAAAATGCGTTCCTTTGCATTGTGTGTTACAGACTTTACGTTTTCCGTCACGTACAGGATTACAAGATCCTGGTATGTGGTGGAGATGGCACTATAGGTTGGGTGCTACAGTGTTTAGATAATGCAGGTCAGGATAGCGTGTGCTCTTCTCCCGCATGCGCTATCGTGCCTCTGGGAACGGGGAACGACCTCGCTCGTGTGCTATGTTGGGGTTCCGGTTACACGGGAGACGAAGACCCGCTAAATTTATTGCGAGACGTTATCGACGCGGAAGAGGTAATATTGGACAGGTGGACCGTGGTTTTTAATTCGCAAGACCAAGAGGGGAGCAATCCTCAAGCGATCACGACTGCAGCAGGTGAGAGACGTGATTCTGACATATAAGCTAGTTGTCGAGACGGGAGAATATTTACTCACAGCTCGATTTTTTCATCGTTCAAGGGTTGTTTTAAGTTTGTCTTCAGATGCTGCGTAATGAACGAAATCTTACAATTCTAGAGGTGAACTTGAGACGCTCTCGAGTAATAAAATTGTCGCGAATATCGCCGATAGATACAACTGTGTTTCCCACTGAGGGAACCCCGGTGTCCTCACACAATTCCCTTCCTTTTTCAGAAAAACTGGCATGGTGTCGATTGCATACCGCAGGCGCAGGGGGTTCTAGTAGCGAAGACAATACGCAAATGTATGTGATGAACAATTATTTTGGCATCGGCGTCGACGCGGATTTATGTTTGGACTTTCACAACGCGAGGGAAGAAAACCCTAACAAATTCAAGAGTAGATTACGGAATAAAGGCGTGTACGTGACGATGGGCTTGCGTAAGATGGTGAAGCGTAAGCCGTGCAAGGATTTACACAAGGAAATTCGGTTGGAAGTGGACGGCAAATTGATCGAATTGCCACAGGTGGAAGGGATAATTATTCTGAATATTTTAAGGTAAATTTTATCGTGACACATTTGCGCCACGGGAGACGAGGAACCTAGAATATGTTCGTTACTTCCAACGACGAGCTTCTCTCCTTTTTTTCTCGTTACAACCTAGTTGGGGCTCTGGTGCTAATCCCTGGGGACCAGATACCAAAGAAGATCAATTTTGTACGCCAAATCACTGGGACGGTATGTTGGAAGTCGTCGGAGTAACGGGAGTTATGCACCTCGGACAGATACAGTCGGGTCTACGCACGGCTATGAGGATAGCACAGGTGAGAATTCCACCGGGCCTGACACCCACAATCGATGTCAGCACGTATACACGTTTGTTCACGCATTGACTCACTTCACTCGACAGGGCGGACACATAACCATTCAGCTGAATTCGGATATACCGGTGCAAGTGGACGGTGAACCGTGGGTGCAGAGTCCGGGGAAGATCTCTGTCCTGAAGTCCGCACTTAAGGTAATATCTCGTCATAGAATCTCACACGGAAACCCCATAATTCCACCGAAAGAACGGACAGAACGTAACGTAGAATCACATGTCTGTTGGAACACAACATGGTTTGCGATATATATATATATATATATCGATATAGATCAGTACGTGGGTGTTGATAATCCCTCTTGTGTGGAGTATGTACATACATGTACATATAAACACACACACATATCAAGGAAAAATGATTGCACCCTTTCTCTTTCTCTCTCTCTCTCTCTCTCTCTCTTTCTCTTTCTCTCTCTCACTCACTGTTCGGGTTTACGTAGAATGATGGGGGCCATAACATGCGTTTTTTTTGTGGCACGTAAACTTTTGACAGGAGCATCCGTATGTATTAGTTTGTAGCCCTTTTTTTTTCTTCGTTTCACATTCACAACAATGCTCTACGTATTCTCCGTAAGAAAGCGTAACCTGATTGCTGATACCCATCAGCGCATGCTTTCCTTCCCCCGACTGCACTCGACTAATATTTTCCTTGTTCCTTTGTTCACTTCAGGCAACCATGTTGAAGAAAAGTAAGATCAAGCGTCGCAATACCGAACCGTCGATTCTACCTGCTAATGGGGAGGGGGGCAAGAGCACGGACGAGTAATCCAACCATACCACAACTTACAACCGCTCGCTCGATCGTTTTTAGTCTCTCTCTCTCGTTGAAGACGCGCGCGCGAGACAACACAACCGAGGCATCCTCAGGTTGCGCGCGCGTGCACGCGCGCGCAGAGCAGGAGCCTTCGGGTGTGATGAACGTGTGCCGTCTTCGAGCGATTCACCTTATAAACGGAGAAAGCAAAATAGAGAAAAAAACAAACAAACGAGATAACAAGAGAAAAATCCGGTCCCTCCTCGTTGGTGCATGTAAAACCGATCGACTTTCGTTATTATACCTTGTCTCAATGCCTCAATCCAACGCAGCTAGCTCGAGCTTGTCGTAATGTGTGGATTAGACGCCATTCTATTACCGGATAGTAGTGTTTAGCTTTTACGAGAGTAACGTTTCTTCTTCTTCTTGTCTTCTACTTCTTCTTCTACTTCGTTTCCTTCTTTTTCTATGTATGATTCGTTGACCTTGAGTTCGTAATTTTTTTTTTTCTACTTTCCATTTTTGTCAGTGGCATTGACTGACATTTTTTATCGACTGCTCCTTTGTGCGCTCCCTGATCCTGTCCCTTCCTAGGCTACGATGCTGAAGAAGACTAAGGGTAAAATGAAGCGGCGTAATACAGAATCCAGTATGCAGTTGGCGCTACAGGCTGCACCGTCGAACGAACCGGACGCGGAGATCTTCTGAGTGAATGAACAAAACGTTATGTGAAAGTGGATGAGAATGCGTCGCCGTGACCGCGAGCACGTAGCCACACACAAGACAGAGGACTCGATCGATTTAGCACACTGCGGTAAAAAAAAAGTAAAAGAAAAAAAGAGAATTATATACAATCGGCCTTGAAATCGTCCGACGGCGCGCGGTGGCGCCGCACGAACTTAAACATTAAGGCACACACGTACAACGCGAGGGAGAAGAGAAAGTGGAAAAGGAACACAAACCGCTCGATGAAGAGGCAGGGAGAGGGTGACAAGGTAGATAAGGTTTTCAAATCACACGGACACACGTAATATACACAGCGTGAAAAAAAAAATCCACGGTCGACTCGATGATTCTTAATGTTTGTTCTTACATTAATAGAAAGGGAAAGATAGATCTCATTTTTAAATGTTAATAATTATAGCACTGTACGTAGCTCTCTTATCGATCAATATTTTTTTAGTAAAATTATAATAGATCTTGACACGGTACACGCGCGCGTACACATACATACACACACACATACAACACTTGCAGAACGCTTTGAACGCGCTTTCCTTTTTTCCCGGCGCATTTTCGAGACGCATCCAGCGTCCAATGAAAGATTTTCTATCTTATGAGTATCACTCAAGCACAAATTCTCCCATCGGACCGTCGGCTGCGTTCTGAAGTGCGTCGTAGGGAACGTGTTCCGAGTCGTTCTTCAAGTGAATACGCACACAAACACGCAACATATTAAGCAGTATTGAAGGAAGCTACGCACTTACGCGTGCTCACGACGACGTTGATTTGTATACATATATATTTACGTTCCAAGCTTGATGGTTGAAATGACGGGGGAAGGAAGTCGTGATGTATATTTACGTTTCGTATGGTATTTTGCAGTCTACACACACACACACACACACACACACACACAGAGTTTTTCACGATACGTGAAACGTGAAACTCCGGACGAATATATAAAGAAAAAAAGAAAAAAACAAGAAGAGACGCAAATAAGTTGTTAATAATATATTATAGAGTATTTATGATTAAATATTAATATATTTACATAATATTGTATTAGTACACACTACGACTTTAAGTTGTGACAATTGTTGTGTATGTCTGGCTGCTGGGCAGTCTGGAATTCGTTAAGAAACCAGTGGCAGTCAGAGTTTCCTAGGATACGATTAATAAGGAGGTAAATTAATGTATCTTTTTCATAAGACGATAAGATCGCAACGTGAATTAACGAACGCTTTGCCGATCCGTCTCCGCGGCGGAGAAAGAAAGAGAGAGAGAGAGAGAATGTACAAATGACGAATACACAGTGCGCGCGCGAACGTTAAGCGTGTCCGAGTCGGATTGGCATCGCGACTGACCTCGGAGCTCTGACAGTCTCCCATGACGACAAAGTTTGGCAGTGCCATCGGCAACATACATTCCACTATTAACGTGACGAAGAAGCGTGAATCACAGAAATATGTACACTTTACGAACTATGTCAAAAGAAAAAGGAGGAGGATACGAGGTTGTAACGCGCGTAACGTAAAACGCGTTAATACGTACTTAAGAGGAAAAAAGGAAGAAGGAAAACACAGAGGAAAAAAAAGAGGGGGAGGTCGTCGGGACGTGTGTCGTTGACGTGGGTCGAGTGACGTACGGGGGGAAGGGGGGGGCAGGACCACGCGAATCGGAAGCAATATACTATTGTTTGCGAGCTTCCAAGGTTCTCACGTCTTTGGTACACTGAATGAATACACATACACGCGCATATACGCACGTACATACGTATACACACACACACACAACACACACATATACATATGTGCTACCAGAATACATCGAGTGTCACCCGCTGATCCTCGAAGCACGCGACGCAAACAAATACTTAAGCTCCGATGTCGCTCTCTCACACGTGCAGCAGGGCTTACGTTCATATTGGACTTTCCTTCGCTGGTATCGCGTGAAAGAAAAGTAAAACCAAAAAAAAAAAGAGGAGGGGAAGAGGAATAAAATAGAGAAAAAAAGAACTTCGGTGCCAAATACAATTGTACATAATACATTATAAAAGTGTAGGGGCTCTCTTATATAAGACGGTTTGCCAGTTAAATCGCGACGGCATTTAATGCGACAACGTCGACGGACGAAGGAGAGCGAGCGAGAGCGAGAGAGAGAGAAAGTGAGGGAGAGAGTGAGCGATGTGTGATGCGACGCGTGAGGAGGGTACTTTCTAGTTCGCGGGGAAAGGACCCTTTTGAATTTTCACGCACACACGTTATATTCGTATCGTGTGAACGTGAACCCAAAAAAAAAAGAAACTAAAACGGTGAAAAAAAATGGAGAAGACAGCAGCGCGTACCTTTGATATACTGTGTGAGAGTAAATCAAAGGAGGGAACGATAGGACTCTTAGTATGCTTTTAGTACGCGCTGTGAAACTTAGTTAATTATCTAACTAGACCTCTCTTGGATACCTTCAATTATGAGAAAGATTATCGAAAATTAATTAATTACCAAGCCACAGAAAATCTACGGAGGCGGTCATGCCCGGATGATTGATCGGGCCTCCGTGTATCACAACCTGCCAACGATGCATGGGCTCAGTCGTTCATGTTTATTATATCCGGTATGCCGAATACATGAATGGCGCATCGACGGCAGATTGGAGAGCGAACATTTGTTAATCTGACCAAACTATAGTATATTTGCTGTTGCTATAAAGAATAGAAGAAAAAAAAACAATAAGCTATATGAACAATCTACGTATAATAAATCAATGTATGTGCTACAAAACGGCTGTTTATTTGTCTGTTCATTTGGACTCTCTTCTTATATCGACCTGTTTACTCTCCTTTGTGTTGTTTTGTAACGTTCACGATCGAATCTTGATTCATCGACGTTTTTTATATTCATGCTTATATATATACATACACACACACACATACATATATACTTTATTTTATGATAAATAGAGAAATTGAATCAGGCTACATACGACTTTGATTCGTTCTTTCATCGCATTCACCGAATACTCGTCGAGCATTGTCTCTTATTCTCTTATTTTTGCAGTAAGCATATTAGAAACTTAATGAAAACTTACTCGGCCAACCGTTTCTTTGCATTACTGAAGAATAAAAAGCCTGATCTTCAAGGTTCTTATATTGTTTAATCGCGTTACGATTTGGCGGTAAAGATGGCGGCTTGAAGCGAAGTGAGTTAATAGGAGCGACTAGTAGCGACGTTCCTCGATACTTGTCGAAGACGAGGCAAAAGTGAAAGGAATTTATTCGCTTTTACCGGACAAAAATGAATGTAACGGACGTAGTTTAGACGCACCTTCTCAGAGGGCGCGTCGGTAATTGCGCCCCTGAAATCTCTACGAGATGGTCGCTCTCGGATTTCTCTCTCTGTGCGTGCAGAAGCTTCTCTCTGAAGATACCGACTGAAGTACGGTGGATAGTTTATATTTTGAGAAGAGGTTAGGATTAAAGAGAGAGACAGCTTGCAATGTTTTAAATCTATTGTCGTACTAACGTAAAGAAATATTTGATAATTAATTGCAGATATATACGAAAGATGTATTCAGCGTTGGATGTGTGTTGGAGTAAAAATTGATGGATCTAAACCTCATGTGTATGCATTTGCATACGCTACTCTAATTCGGTATTTAAATAGTTATCTTATGTGGCGGGAATACGTTACATAAGGTGCAACTTTTTTTCATAAATTATAACATAGGTTATCTTTGTTGATTAAGTATTTATTTAAAATTAATTAAACTGGTATTGACATTAATAGGAAAATTGTTTTAATACAGCGATATTTTAGATGGGGAAGAAGAGGAATGTTCAACCACCACCGATAATGCCAGGTCGGGTAAAAGTGGAAATAAAAGATGAAATAGGTAATGTTTGAAAGTATTGTAACACTTGAGAAGAAACATATAATAGTGTTAGATAATAAATAACTCTGTTAATAGACTTTGAATCTGTTACTTAGCATCTTTTTATTATAATATAAATTATACGTACACTTAGGAGACAGCGATGTGCTTGTTGCGAGAGATCGATTGAAAGGTGCTCTTCGGGAATTATTGCAACACAGTGATACAGGTTCCTCGGCAGATTCGAGCGAAGAGAGCCCATCTCACGATTATAAGCAGCAAATGAAAAAAACGTAAATTCAATTGTCAGCTTATTTTCATGATTTCATGATAGTTCGTTAATTTATGACATTAGACTTTCTCATTGATCACACATGATATGTGCAGAACAAAAGCCATGAATTTTCAACAACCACGGAAGATCAGACGTCGTCGTCAAGTACCAACCGATACGCCATTTCATCATACATATGTGATGAAATTATTCGATCGCAGTGTTGATTTAGCTCAGTTTCAAGAAGATACGCCACTTTATCCTATATGTCGCGCTTGGATGGCTAATCAGCCGAGGAATCCTAATTTGGTTCCCAAGTAAGTAACATTTATATGTATTATCGATTATTCATCCTCATGTTTGCTCGGTTCTTTTTTGAATCTTAATTGATCGTACTATTTAAAAAATGCTATCCGTTACTTAGCATCTTTTTATTATAAGGTAATTTTTGTTTCCCGTAACACTTTCCACACTGAAAAATTTCGCATGATCTTTCGTTCAGTTCACGTTAGCTATCATTGGACTATACAGTAAAACATACTACAAGCGTTTTTACTGGATGATGTTTTTAAGGAAGCAAAATAATATAAAATATTTTGATTACAGCCAGATTATGGTTAGAATAAAAATTTAAAATAGACACATTTTTTCGCGTATTCTCGTAGAGTACGCAGCCCGAGTCCGGAAATAGTGAATGAAGTTAATATGGGGAATAATATATTTGACACAAATGGAGAATTAAGTGATGTCCATTATTTGCCACCACCTTTGCCTTGTGAGGAGGCCATACCGAAAAATCGTATTCCATCTCCTATAGTCGGAGAGAAGGATGAGCTGAACTTAGATTATGTGAGTCAATGACTTAGACAAATATGTATAAAATTCAAATTTATATTAAGAAGACCTATGAACACATTGTGTATTAAAACTTTAAAAATAAAAAAAGATGTATATCATACATATTTTCTCTCTCTCTCTCTCTCTTTCTCTCTCTCTTTCTCTCTCTGTGTGTTAACAATAATATATATTATTATGAATATAAATTATACATAACATATTACAGGACGGACATACTCTCAAATCGCGAGAGACACTAATGAAGGAGCATACTGCACGGTGGAATGCTATTCGCAAAAAGTGGCATCAGCAAGCACATAAGAATGAGCTACGTTTTATAGAAAGCGCTAATATACTCAGCACCATTTTTAAAAAGTTTGTATAAAAGATGTTAATTAATTATAGAAACTTCTCATAAAAATTATAGCGATCTGCTATAGTTTATAGTTTATTAGGTTTGACATATTCCTACTTTTAATATCGTCATCATGATGCCTCTGTTTTTTGTTTCAGGGCACAATCAGAGTTTGAATAGCAGAGACGAAAGAGCAGCGATCTTACAACTGCCAATTCTCTCGTTGCTGATAGTTTTTTTTGTTATCAAGGAGTAATTTCTTATTTGCTATTTTTCTACACGTTTGCTTATCAGTGAATGTATATATGAAAGAGATGACTATATATGTGTTGTGTGTGTATATATATATATGTCTTATATGAATTTAATTTCTTCTTATAATGGCTGAAAAAAATTGCAATCATGTTTTTTAATCAATATTTCTCTCGATAAATCATCACACTTTAATATAAAATAATTCTTGCAATTCTTGTAGATTTCTTTTTTTTTTTTTTTTTTTAATAAAACATACAAACAAGGAAATAATTTTTTTCTCAAAATAGATAAATAGATGTTTCAGTAACGCTGTAATATATATATATGTATATATGTCTACTTTTATCATGAAACGCAGTATTTCATAAGAATTTGTATTCATATTCATCGGTTTCGAAAATTATTATTATCGTAATCTTCACGAAATACCACGTTTAATGAGAAATCAATGACATATAATAATAACCTTCCAATAGCATATATCAACAAAACAACGTATATAAAANTACTTATTTGATATCGAGTAATTAACAGTATACAATATTATAACATATGCTAATCTTACATTCTTATAAATTATGTTTTATGTTATTTTACATTGGGAAGAGATTGAACACTTAAAAGTGCTTATAGATTATGTATAATCCATAATGTTTCATACAGAATTATTTCATTATAAATACGAAAATGTATCCTGGTAAAAATCTTAGTTTGATTATAGACGATGGTTACTTTCCTGCATTATTTAAATTGCAATTATTAATGTGTGTATTCTCGTAAATTTATAGAAACGAAAACCGAGGAGGAAGGATAAGACGAATAATTCTTGAAGGCTTGAGAATTACACGCTTTTTATTCTAGATTCTAGATATTAACAGTCGCGTAACTTACATTATTTACTTTCATTTAATAGGATTCCCACACAAACACTGTTTGATTGTTTGTCGATTGTAAACGCATTTCTTTTAAAAGAGCAATTGTAATTTTCAAGACTTCTTTTTTATATTTATATACTTGCTGGGATGTCTACATTATTAAAGAATTTTGTCTCATATAAAATGTAACTAAGAAATAAATAACATAATTTAAATATATATTCCGCTCGTTCAACTACTACTGTACTATTTTTCTTTTCTATCTTTTGACTTGTATCATGTAACTGTATACTTCGATAATAAATGTTTATTATAAGCAACATTATTACCTCTTAATGCACTTTGCATTCTATGAATTGTAGGAAATGATTTTTTGCACAGTCTCATTTTGATGCGACTGAGAGATTTTCATGTTTCTCTTCAAGTATACTTCAATGAATTTATTTGCCATTGCTATTTCACACACATACGCGCGCGCACACACACACACACACGCATACACACACGCGCACTCTCTCTCTCTCTCTCTCTCTCTCTCTATCTATCTATCTATCTGGAAGTTTACTTGTCTGTTAAAGACAGCTCCAACACTTGGCGGAACGTTTCCTCTTCCAGCAATCGCCGTTGCTCTTCTTCTATTTGCTGCTGCTCGGAAAGTTTTAACGCTAGTCTCAATTGTTCCGCTGCGCCTTCAAGAGAATCACTATCTTCATTCTCGTTTACAGTAGCCGAATTCGCAGTACCTTCAGCCGATCCTGCTGTAGTTTCTTGATATAGGACTAAACTAGCTTGAATTGCCCTATATTAAAAAGAAAACGTATCATTTAAGTATCATTGCTTTCAAATATTTCCACGAGATATATTTATATGATAATCTGAGTAATAAAGTAAATAATGTTCATTATATACAAGAATGCACAAACAAGTCTTGCCCTGATTCTAATTGACCGGCAGTTAATATTTATAATAATCACCCACCTGCCTAAGCATGAATTGTAGCAGTAAAACACATGCAAAATTAATTATATAAATTTAACTAAAAAACGACACAGGAATAATAAAATAGAAAATCAGGATAATACTGATTCTCTTCTATACGCATTTATCAATATACCTCTGAAGTTGCCTTTCCTCTTCAGAGCTCATATTAGGTGTAGTTGGTCTGGATGGCTTTTGAGCTTTTAACGCTTCCCATATATCAACCTTTGTACAAAATAAAAAATAGACAATAATTATATATATGGTATACTATATATATATATATATATGCGTATTGAGTGTACAGTACCTCATCACGTTCGCTGCCGGCTTCCAAAAGACTTTGCTGAATAGCGAACTGTAACAAATCGTCCTCTTCTTCGATACTAAATTGTGTCCTAACTTCCGCACCTATATTCAACCAATTAAATTAAACCAAGTCGCATACTAATTGTGGAATATATGCACAAGTGTAAAATGAAAGTTACCTAATTTGACATATCCACTGGGGGCTTCAAAACAAATATCGTCAACTAAACAAGTTATACGATTAGTTTCTTGCAAGTGACCTACATGGGGCACTTCTTGATCTAAGCCGAATATATTACCAAAAGTTATCCTGGCGTTGAGAATATGGAATAATGGAATTTCTAGGGGAAAAAATGATTGTTAATAATCGTTTTAATTAGTTCAATTAGCATACATATTAGATACTACGATGTATATACTCATTCCATTTGTACCAAGGACTTACCAATTTTAACGGGAAAACCGGCTGGAAGTTGCATTTGAATAAAATCTTTTAATTTTGCAAAATGTGAACTAGATATAGCCATCAAATCTACAATTGGCATTATTTGTTCTTGAAGACTTAACGGATATTCCTCGCTTAACCATAAAGTTGCCTTTAAAATTAAAAAAAAAAAAGTCGAGTTAGTATAACGTTACAAATATATTTATACACTAAAGACATGTGAACAACTTATGGAAACTTATAGTATGAAATGTATCATTATAATCGTCGATTTAATTGATTGTCGGACTATAAACAACAATTTATAATACCTTAAATTTCTGTATTTTTGTATTAACTTCCTTGGGTCTACCTATGTCCCTTCCATTTAAATCAATATTGGAATCGAAGTATTCCTCAGCAGTGATGTTGGAAGGATTACCTATGTTATTATATTCTTCCTGAAATATACAACTTAATTAATACGTTTTAAAGTTTCAAACAAAAGCAACCGGTTTAGTCAGAAATTGCTATGAGAAAGAAAATTACACTACTAGTGGTGACAGCACTGCAGTTCTCTTGCTGCTGCTCTGCGATACCAAGAAACGACTGTAAAGGCGTTTTTGGTGCTCGAGCCCTTGCTTTATCCGCTTCGGATAAGTGTTCTAACCGAGTTTTAGTTATTAATTCCACGTTGCTCGCACTAAAAACTTTACATTCGTGACCATTTATTATCTCACTTTTGTCAGAACGCCATCCCCATAGACCTGCTTTATTGCTAATTCAATAAAAGTAATAGTGAAATAAAAATAATATTGGAATGCAGTCGATTGTTATTAACTATATTATAGCAGTAATAGATATAGTTACCGTTCAAAACTAATTTTATCCGTGTCTATGTATGTTGTAACTATAGGATTGGTAAGACGAGCTATCACGCCTTCCTCAGAAGGTTCCATTAATTGTATATTATCATCTCCTATAAGTTTCATATGTTCAACGTACACTTTTCTTGTCTCATGGTCTACTTCCATCATCGTCGCTCCGTCGTCTATAAAAATAATGTTATTATTATTTTTATAAAAGTAAAAAAAAAAAAAATATATATATATATATATATATATATATATATATATATGAATTTCATAAAAATAAGTAGAATATAAAAATCATAATTTTTATTTGTACAAATTTATTGTTGAGAAAAATATGTTTATTCATATATTAATTACTAGCTAAATTATGTGTTTGTATAATTATCAATCGTCTATGTTCATATATATCATACTAAATGTAACTAATATTTATAAATTCTAAGAAAAGCAAGCCTTATTGTTGCATTACAATGTTGCATTTTATACAAATATACATATATATTTGATATAAGTTACATATATAACAATTAAGAGACACTATATATGTATACTGTTTCTTAATTATTTGTCAGTTTACTAACAGTTCAGCTGCAATTTATATAAACTAATAGGGAGAAATAAGAGAAGCAATGATATTATAAAATATTCTACCTACTAAGAATGCATTAAAAAAAATATTAATATTAATTATCCCATATTATGCATACTAAAATGTCCACTAAGTTCTAGCAATACGGTAGATAAATTAAAAGTTCAAATTGTATCACCTGTATGATGGCCACCCATACTGAACACATAACTGCGTTCGCATCTAATTGCCACAGGTGGATTTGATGCAGCTTGCATTAATGTATTAGTACAGAATTTAGTAACAAACAATCGTACAATTTCAAGACATAATAATTAATTATAATTAAAACAAAGTTATAGGATAATCATGCACAAATGTGTGTGTGTGTGCGTGTATATATATATATATATATATATTAAGGTATTTATTAAAGATATCTATACTTACTTTGTCCTTTGAAGACATAACTACGATTTCCACGTTGCCAATTTGCATGATCGAAACCTAATAGAGTAGTGTCAATCCTCACATTACTACCTTGCTTGTAAACTTTGTAGGTATCACTTGGACACATCCGAGATGCGAGTGGAACTGGTCAACAGAAACAATGACAGTTAATCACATGTGTGTTATTAAAGAATTGATAAATATATATTTTGAAGTTAAAATATTAAAGTCAACGTGAATTGAGAATTAAACTAATGACGCAGCAGATTTAATAAAATACATTTAAAAACAGATATTATGTAAATCTCCAATCCTTACCCCAACTTGTAAATTCCCATTTCATTTCTACATAAAAATCAGGCGCCTGAAAAGAACTTCTATTAGTAAGACTATTAGGTTAACAATAAAGAATATAAAGAAAAATTAATATTATCAGCTTATAACGCAACATCCATATGCAAGAAACACATAAGTTAACATTAGCTATATGGAAGTTGTAGAACAAAATTCCTCTTCTATCAAGATATATATGAATGAATGAAAATAAATTATTCACATCAAACACAAATAATGATAACTCACTTGTTTAAGTTTATGGAGCAATTCTGGTATACCAGCCACTCGATTACAGTATCTCTGGTAATCTCTTCGGGCTAGCACCATTTGCAGCAGTTCAGGATTTCCTGTACCAACTGCTTCTTGAACAACTATATTGAAAAGGATTAAACTGCTAGTTAATAGATCTTCCAGTGTAAATATATTTGTCATTTTGCAAAGAAATAAACTATAAAATAGAAACTCTCTATGTGCACATAGATATACTGCATACTTATTCTACAAACAGACCAAGTATGAAAAAGAATTACCACTCCATCCTTGAGTATTCTCTGTATTAACATTGGCTTCATGATGCAGTAGCACTATAGCTGAATCTGTATGACCCAAAGTTACTGCCAGCATTAATGGTGTCCTTCCACGATTGTCATGTTTTTCTATATCATGCTGGGAAACATTTAAATAGCAATGCAATTTAACATATATTAATAACTAATATTTTATATTATGAAATTTTATAATTAACACAAGAAAGACAAATTAACATATACTTTGAATATCCTGATCATGCTATTTAAGATTATTATGTATAAATACATATAGTTTTAAAGCTATTTAATTATATTTCAACAGTATCTAATTTCAGAAGTTACCAATTATTACATATCAAAGGTTTCCTTTTCATAATATACAGATGATAGATTTCTTATATGTATTATTTAAATATGTTTATATTAGCTATATGGGACATGATATACCAATAAAAACAATATACTCGAATAATTTTTTTTAGAATTTTAGATACAATATATATATATATATATATATATAATTATATAAAGGTGATAAAAATAATATATTAAAAATCCGCAGTAGCATATGGCAGCTTATTCAAATTATTATTCAAAAAATTATAATACAAAGGAATACATGATATCATATCTATTAACATTAAACAATTACGTAACTACTTGTTATTGTACCGTATCAATTATGATCTGAGGAGGCCTGTTATCACTGATAACCAATCAACACTTGTCGGCACAAAAGACACGTAAAATCACATACGGTAAATGCGAAGGAAACGTTAGTTTGACGTTAAACACGTGTATGGTTTCATACAGACAGGAATCTAATTAATATTGAATGAAATAAGCTTGTTATAACAGAACGCAAACCTGATTTGTGGATAGTTCCTTGTCGAGTTCTACATAGCTGTTATGCCAAACGAGCCAGTGCAGTGGATAATTTTTTCGTATGGTATCTATATTCACCATTTCTACAAAATTTGATTGACGTCACATACAACAGGCTTATTGTAACAAATACCACAAGCCAAACGCACGATACGAAATTTTGACAGCGGGATACATGATATTAAGCGAGTGACGACTATCGGCCGTTGGGTGTGCGACACTTAGGTGGCACACATTGCGCGCTGGTTCGAAGATACCACAGTCATGAGCTGCGTTCTAATATTTATCACCAGTGCTGGAAATTTATAAATCGTGGTCTACAACAGGCAGTAGGAATAAAAAGTACGAGTAAGAAATTAACCAATCATAGTCGATTATTCTCCTTACATTCGAATATGATTGGTTCAATTTCTCATTCCTACTTCTTACGAACATACCTCTACTGCCCATTGTAAACTACGCTTTCCTAATTCATAGTCTGATACGTTAATGGTCCGTTGCAAATGCTTCAAAGTACAGTACAGACCAATCATATTCTTCCTTTAAGATCCGGTAAGAACCGAACGTCGAACGTATCGAAATGCCATTTGGATACACTTTCCGTTGTACCTACACTTAATATCATATCGACTCGAAAAAATCATATTCGTTTGTTAAACTACTTTTTAATCTCTTCTACAAAAATACTTAGCCTTCTATCGAACTGAATTGTGCAATTGAAGCTCTACAAATTTATAATAAACGAAAATACGAATTCGTGCTGTTCTCCGAATCGTACACCCGTAGTAAGGTGCACGAAACAAAGTGCATCATTTTTTACGTTAACCTTGGCCCCCACTCCTCAACATCCGGTCTGGACATAATATGGTTTTTCCCCTACATAAACAGAGACGTTCTCTCTATCGGTGTGACATGCGCAAAATATCGTTGCGTGATAGGCAGAAGGGTTGCATGTGTAACGTTGTGAGAGGGGGAAAACAGTGTTAGCGCGAGCTCGAGGTCGCAACATTCTTGTCAGTCCACATCTATAAAGTTTATGATACGAAGTCAGTTAGTCATACTGCGTTTTTATCGTGTGACGAATAATTGCACAATTAATATAATACCTTCGTTAGTTTTGCATACATGGTGTGAAAAAGTTATTCAAAGTCGGCTTTCACTGACATCCCGCGCTATTATGCGGACGCAATAGATATCAAAGAGAATGACAGAATGTGAATGAAGAACTTCGTAGCAGAGAAGTAATCAAGCGCTTGGACGTGGTTGAGCTGATAAAACAACAGAATCGGCTGGAATTGAAAGTTACTTTATCAAAAAGACGAGGAAATCATCCAGAGACTGGAAATTGCGCAGCGTAACTAGGGACTATGTGATAGATGATCCAACAGTTGGACTGAAGTCACCACCATCCTTTATTCGGAAAACCAATCAACTTCAACTGCGAATTTTCTGCTATAGCTGAGTCGAGAATATTCTTTCTATTTCGGCCTTTTTTTTAACGCGTTCTTCGAAACATACGTTGAGAGGTAAGATTTTTAATCACAAATAAATACAAACTCAACATTGCGTCATTAACCATTCGACTGCACTCTTTTGAAAAGTTGTTCGCATCACGAACAAAGTCATATTGGCCCTGTACGAAATTCTATATCTGAAAAACTATGAAAGGAAAAAAGTTGGCAAAATTTTATAATAAAGTGTAACTATTCTACTTTAATGTGTGATCATAGCATTCCTAGAAAATCAGGTTTTAAGTTACAAAAAAAAGTTCAAATTTAGCCGATGGTCTCTCGAATGATAGTGTTTTTTTTTCCACTCAAAAAGGTCATTTTTTTTACTTGTGTTTTGCAACTGTAGGACGATGAGGTTGAAAGATAATTCTAACGGAAAAACTTATGAATGTAGTGCGCTCGTTCGAAGAGCATATTTTTCTTTGGACTATTAGAAAGTGAGTATTTTGAATTGTCGGAAATGTGTGTTTTTGTGCGTGAAAAGTATCTTTGTTGTGAAAGTATCAAAAATAGTTTTTCTACATGCAAAATGATAACACGCATTGTTTAAAAAAATAATTAATTAGGACCACACTTTGCAGGTAGGGATGTTATGATATCATGAAAATCGGTATTGTTACTGAAATGAATATCTAATAATCAATATCTAATATATAATCAAGAATATCGATATCATTAGTGATATAAGTATCGGAATAAAAATATATTTACGATAAGTAATCGTATTTTTAATTCGACCGAACAATGGTGCTACGTTCATTTTTAAAAAATTCCCTAGACTTATCGGATTTATGTTTTCTATCTCAGCATTAATCAAATTAGATCAAAAAGATCTTAAGATATGAGCAGTCGCGCAACTAAACAATCGTGAAATTTATTGTTCACTAAAAATGGAAAAATACCTATATGCACTTTATTATAATGGAAAAAAGGCTACATGTACTTCATTATATATGGAAAAATAGCTACATACACTTCATTATAACTCGAATAACTAACACATTTCTCTTTCCATCCTTCCCCTTCTCAGTCCCATGCCTGTGGCCAGGTGTGATGATTTCTCTCTCATTTACCTGCAATGTGCATGCTGATTATATATAACCTAGTAACAGCAAGAAACATTAAATTAATTTTTTTTAACATTTATTTTATGTGGATTATATAAACATTTTGACATAATATTTTATAAACGTTTTTAAGCTGTTACATAATAATATTTTATTTTTAAATATTAAAATTATAGTATAGAAACATTATTTTTAATGTTTTAGTCAAATATCGTCAACAGTTGTATACAACATAAGAACTACATATTTGAAGACGTTGCATGTTATAAAATATTATTATAATAACGTTGTGTTAACGATTTCTTGCTTACTGAAAGGAATATTGGACCTACAGTTTAACGCTGATTCCGAACGACAAATTTTTGGTAAAAAAGTTTTCTTGGTAAGGATACTCCCCCCCCCCCCCCCCCCNTGCCTTTCGAGAGATGACACGGCGTGTAAAAATTTTTGGCTCTGCAGGGAATCGAACACTTGACTTCTGGCATAGCAAGACCGGGTGCGCTATCTGCCACGCTCGCGCTCTTTTTCCATAAAATATATATAAATATAATTCAAATACTTGGATTTTGCTGATGTAAAATTATAAAAAAACGAAGTGTCTATATGTCTATATGTCTTTAGCGTACCGGAATGCCAATGATTAAAATTGAAAAATGGATGATTTCAATAGCTGCATTCAGCAGAAAAAGCAGCTGGTAAGCGCTTTTCGCTGCAATCGTTACAAGACTTTCTGCTAAACAACATTTAGCAATTTACGCTGATCCAATATGTTTACTAAGCGGTCCAACTTATTAAGGACCAGATACACAACTTCCGATTAAATTAATCCACTGATTAATTCCATTGGAATTGATCAAATGTATTTGTCGTTAAGCATAATTGACCCGAAATAACTGATTACGGTTTACACTTAACTGGTTGGTTAAGTTAACCGGAGATTATGAAACTGGCCTCAAAAGGCTGCTGGAAAAAAATAGCGATCGTTTAGCAAACATATTTCAAAAGTGTAAACTGCTGATGTCGTTCGGCAGAAAATCTTATAAGAGCTACAAAACCGTTGACAGCACAGCGCAAAGCGCTTATTAAGCTGCTTTTTCTGCCGAGCGCGGCCAGTAAGCCAATATTTCTTATAGCAATCATGTGTATTAGATTTATTTTAAGATCGACTAATGCTAATAATATTATTTTAACTGACTCGTACATTAACAATTAAAATTCAATGGAGTTATGAACAATTTATTTCTTTCAGATTTTTATGTTAATAAAATCCATACATCTGAATTATTAATATATATTACGTGTAAAATAACGAGCTTGAATTATTAACATTAAAATGAAGTTTTAATGTTACGCCTAGCTATTTTAAAACGGTGAAAAGGTAAACGGAAGACGATTATACATAAGGAAGTAAAATATATTTTAGAAATATTAAAAATATTGATATTTTACAGGAACCTCTAATTCAAACAAATACAAATTGAACAATCTCGGAGAGTCAACTTAAAGGATGGGGATTCCTGGCCTCACAACATTTATCTCAAATTATTCTGAACATTTTCTTGTAAATTATAAACTACATGATACTTATCTAGTAATTGATGGCGCTACTTTAGTAAGCCATTTGTACGATGCAAGTTGTAATAACGCTTTTGGTGTAGATTATGGTAAATTTGCACAATGTGTATCGGAATTTTTTGACGAACTTTTGAAGTGCAATGTCACTCCATTAGTATTATTTGATGGAGCCACTGAAGACAAAAAACTCAAGACAAAAATAATTCGAACTAGTAAGAAGATACGATTAACATCATGTTATACATATGGTACACCATCTGTTCAGCAGCAAAAGAAATTATTTACTCCATATAAGAAGAAGATTTTTCAGGAAGTCATGGAAGAAAAAGGCATTAGGTATGCAAAATGTATATTTGAAGCAGATGATACTATAGTTGCAATAGCACGTATTCTCAAGTGTCCTATATTGAGTTATGATTCTGATTTCTATATATCTGGATCATTGTATATACCAATTAATACATTGCAAAATGATATTGTGCGTAATTCAGCAGACAATGGTTATATGAAACATTGCAAGGTTTATCATGTCGAGAATCTTTTCCATTTTTATAACGGACTTAATCAATCCTTATTACCATTGGCATCAGTATTATTAGGAAATGACTATGTGGAACAACGTACATTTAACAACTTTTTCCGTCATTTAAAATTGCCACCAGCAGAGCGGAAAATGTTCAACGAACGATTACGTCGTATTGATGCCACATTTAATTGGTTGCGAAGGTACAGTTTAAGCCAAGCTATAATAGAAATACTAAGTAGACTACCAAAAGAAAAACGACAATATGTGTTAAATATAATAGAAACGATGATAAATAATTATACTGACGTGCCGCTGAGTTTGCTGGCTATATTGGGTATACCTGCAGAGAAATTCTCAGAAAAACACGTGCAGGATACATCCAAGCCATATAAATTTGAAGGTGATATAGATAAATTGATATATATTGAGGAAGAGGCATATGAAACAAACATAAGTGACACAGAAGAAATAGACGAGCAACAAGCAAGCAACATACTTGAGAAAATAGGATTGGTTTCTAATGAATCACTTATTAACAACTTGCCTGAGTGGTTTATTAAAGAATTCATGATGGACAGATATCCAAGTTACTTCATTAATTTAATAATACGGAAATTGTATATTTTCACTGCAGGGATTGAAGATTATACTTGTAGATCGTCTGGCATTGCAAGTTTGCAAATTTTAAATGTTATATACCGGCTGCTGATGTCAGGAATAGACAAAGAGAAAACCAGCATGAAGTTTATAGCCAGGGGTGAAAATGTGAGAATAAAATATGATTGTTTGGAATACAACGATGATATGTTTGGTGATAAACTTCCCTCTCTGTCTAACTTGAGAAAGATACCGATTACGATTAGAAAAGAAATCTTGAACACTACTTTGGGAGTTACCAGTCAAAATTGTATGAATGATTTTCCATCAGCGTGGATGTTATATGTAGCGACCATGAAGTACTGGATAGATCAACAGCAAGAACAACCAAAGCTTATGTACCATATATATTCCTTATTACTTGCTATGCTATATAATATAATAGATTTAAATGTAGGCGTTTATAGAAATTTAGACACTTTTCAACAAAAATTCGATGAAACCATACAAAATATTCAGTCTGCAAGAAAAATTAAAAACTATCGACTAGAGTATTCAATGAATCTTACAATCTTAGATGCGATTTACGCAGTTAGCGCGGATGATTGTTTGATCGCAGCTCCGTTCTTTATATCTAATTTCGAAATAGACGATGAACTGTATTCGCAACCAGAGAAAGTTAATGTTACGATCGTGCACAGTTTGACGGAGTTTCAACATTGTTTGAAATTTAGTATGGATTTAAATGCATTATTAGGATGCCCATATAGACCTATGAAGATCTTGAAATTGTACAGTGGTGTATTGTTATATAATCTGTGTAATAATTTTAAGAGACATGAAAATGTTGAAGCTTATATAAATTCGGTTTTACATAATTCTCCAAGTCTAGAGCGTCTGTTCAATATATTGCTGTTAAAATTCAAGTCTTTATCTAGTAAGTGGGCGATGCAGGTGAATGTCAGTAAATATGAAAAACAAAATCCAGAATACGAAAAAAAACAAGAGTCTGCACAAGAAAATCATCTAGAAAAGTCTGCGTAGAAATGTGACAGCCCCGATGGAAATATTTTACTGAATTTATAATTATATATTATATATTAATTTTTATATTATAAATTTTTATATTTTTATAATATATTAACGATTAAGATACAATGGGATTGTGAACAATATATTTTTTTCAGATTTTTATGTCAATAAAATTTAAACATCTGAATTATTAATACATATTTTGTGTAAAATGAAAAACTTTAATTACTAAAATTATTAAATATTAGCATTACAATGAAGTACGCGTAGATATTTTTTTATTTTTATTTAACGTTAATTTTATGAGAAATTATGCGATTATATTTTAAGATCTTTTGGTCTAATCTGATCAATGCTGAGACAACGAGCATAAATTCGATTTGAGGCTGGGAGATTTTTTTTTTTTTTTATTAATCGATTGAGTACCATTGTTCGGTCGAATTAGAAATCAAACTACTTGTAAATATCAATATCATTACCGATACTGATATCGAAACTAAAAAAAAAACTTCGAATTAGAAGAAATATAAAAGTCAGGGAAATGTTTATCTTGCAAATTATTTTTAAATATTTCGTATGTCTACGTATAATAATCTTATTATAGTATAATTATACTACTACCTTCTGTACTACACTTTCTGCGATTTGTAATAAAAACTTTAAAAGGGATATATTAAGGCTCCTGTGTCCTCGCTATGACTATCCTTATTTGATGACGTCAGGACCAAGAAAATCGCATGATAAAAATTATTGCGGTTTATATAGAAGTAAACCAATATATACAAAATGACACTCGTAATCGACTCGGTACACTTATAAAAATGTCCGGACGCTTTCCTTTTACTTTACTGATGAATAAATAACCGTAACAGAATTTTACGAAAATTAACGTAACAAAATACATAGGTTAAACGCTACCTGAATCTAACATAACGCTATTATTAAAAAAAAAAAATACGTTTACAATATTTACTTATATTCATATACAAATTTTCAGCAAAAAATAATTTGTGGCGTCAAGTTATACGCCGACTGCACATTATGGTCTAACTGACCCTACGCCAAATTTGGGTGGCTTTCAAACACATATCGGCTTATCAGATTCTCATCACGTCTAACGGATAGAACGATTCTTTAACGATTTTTCAGGAGTGGGCAAAATTCATAGATCACCCATTTTTCTTCACTACAGCTCTTCAAATATAGCTCACCGGGTCTATCCCGTAATCCCGCAGTCGAAGGGTTAATAAATAAAAAAATATTACATATAAAGAAAATACATCTTAGAAATTAAAAATAGTGATATTTTACAGGAACTTCTAATACAAGCAAATATAAATTGAACAATATCTCGGAAGGTCAACTTAAAGAATGGGGATTACTAACTTAACAAAATTTATCTCCATTAATTCTGAACATCTTCTCGTAAATTATGAACTGCATAATACTTTTTTGGTAATTGATGGCTACAATATCATACATATGCACAAATTCTATACAAACTATAATTTCACTTTTGGTGGAGATTATGATAAATTTGCATCATGTGTATCGGAATTTTTTGACGAACTTTTGAAGTGCAAAGTCATTCCATTAGTATTATTTGATGGGGGCGACGAAGATAAGAAACTCAAGACAAAAATAATTCGAGCTAGAGAGAAGATACGATTAGCATCATGTTATACATATGATAAACCATCTTTTAAACAGCAACCGGAATTATTTTCTTTACATTTGACGGAAGTTTTTAAGAATGTCCTGAGAAAAAAAAAAATTAAGTATGCAAAATGTATATTTGAAGCAGATGATACTATAGCTGCGATAGCACGTATACTGAAGTGTCCTGTATTGAGTAATGATTCTGATTTCTATATATCCGGATCATTGTACATACCAACTTATACATTGCAAAATGATATTGTTCGTAATTCAGCAGACGACGGTTATGCGAAACGTTGCAAGATTTATAAAGTCGAGAAACTTTTCCATTTCTATAACGGACTCAATCAATCCTTATTACCATTGGCATCAGTATTATTAGGAAATGACTATGTGGAACAACGTACATTTAACAACTTTTTTCGTCATTTAAAATTGCCACCAGTAGAGCAGAAAATGTTCAACGAACAATTACGTCGTATTGATGCCACATTTAATTGGTTGCGAAGATACAGTTTAAACCAAGCTGTAATAGAAATATTAAGTAGAGTACCAAAAGAAAAACGACAATATGTGTTAAATATAATAGAAACAATGATAAATAGTTATACTGACGTGCCGCTGAGTTTGCTGGCTATACTGGATGTATCTGCAGAGAAATTCTCAGAAAAACACATGCAGGATACATCCAAGCCATACAAATTTGAAGACAATATAGATGAATTGATATATATTGAGGAAACGGCATATGTAACAAACATAAGTCACAGAGAAGGAATAGCCGAGCAGGAAGCCACAAATATACTTAAAGAAATAGGATTGGTTTCTAATGAATCACTTGTTAATAACTTGCCTGAATGGTTTATTAAAGATTTCAAGATGTGCAGATATCCAGGTTATTTCATTAATTTAATAACACGGAAGTGGTTTATTTTCTCTGTACTAGTTGAAGATTACAATTACGAATCGTCTGGCATTGCAAGTTTGCAAATTTTAAATGTTATATACCGGCTGCTGATGTCAGAAATAGACAAAGAGAAAACTAGTATGAAGTTTATAGCCAGGGGTGAAAATACGAGAATAAAGTATTATTGTTTGGAAGGCAATGATGATATGTTTGGTGATAAACTTCCCTCTCTGTCTAACTTGAGAAATATACCGATTACGATTAGAAGAGAAATTTTGAACACTGCTCTGGGAGTTACCGGTGAAAATTGTATGAATGATTTTCCATCAGCGTGGAAGTTATATGTTGCGGCCATGAAATACTGGATAGATCAACAAAAAGAACGACCAAAGCTTATGTACCATATATATTCCTTATTACTTGCTATGCTATATGATATAATAGATTTGAATATAGGCGTTTATAGAAATTTACACATTTTTCAACAAAAATTCGGTGAAACTATACAAAATATTCAGTCTGCAAGAAAAATTAGAAACTACCGACTAGAGTATTCAATGAATCTTACAATCTTAGATGCGATTTACGCAGTCAGCGCGGATGATTGTATGATTGCAGGTTCTTTCTTTATTTCTAATTTCGAAATAGACGATGAACTGTATTTGCGACCAAATAAATTTAATGTTACAATCACGCACGGTTTTTCGGAATTTCAACATTGCTTGAATTTTAGTATGCATTTAAATGCATTATTAGGATATCCATATAGACCGTTCAATATCGAGAAATTGTTCAATGGTACATTGTTATATAATCTATGTAACAATTTTAAGAAGCGTGAAAATGTTGAAGCTTACATAAATTCGATTTTACATAATTCTCCAAGTCTAAAGCGTCTGTTTAATATATTGCTGTCAAAATTCAAATCTTTATCTAGTAATCGAACGAATGTCAATAAATATAAAAAGCAAAATTCAGAGTACGAGAAAAAACAAGAGTCCGCACAAGAAAATCATGAAGAAAAGTTTGTGTAAAAATGTAATAGCCCTAATGGAAATATTTAATAAATTAATATTCTTGATAGAAAACGGTGGAATCTTTTTCAACGGAATAATATTTCTTTATATGTTCCTTTCATGTCCTTAATTCAACAAAAAAATGACACATCTATAACTCTTCTGCAGCTATCCATAACATCTACAACAATACAGATATCTTTACCATTTGCATATATAAAATAGAAAAGAGAGAATTTAATTTTGTAATAATATGATTACAACGTATATCATAGATAAGTTATTTTAATCGAAAGTTCTATTGCGTAACCGAGCAAAAATCAATATATGATACAATATTATATACATATATTTACTCATCCCCACTAAGTAAAATACATTAAATTAATTTTTTGAAACATTGATTTTATGTGGATTTTATAAGCATTTTAACATAATATTTTATAAATGTTTCTGAACAATTACTTGATAATATTATATTTTTATAACGTTATATACAACATTAAGAACTATATATTTGAAAACAGTGATATAACATCATTACCTACGCACACACATACACACACAACACACAGATACAATGTTTCGCGTTTCCGCCGTCCGAGGTCTCCAAAGTCAAATCCGGATTTGCTTGTATTATTTTAGCTCCTGCGGAGCCTTAATACGGTTCAATTTACGTCTGTGCAAATGTTTTGGAAATTTAATATTTAACATTTAGATTTCGAGGATCATCATCATTTCGAGGATGACTATTTTCCAATTTACCTCGTTACATGTAAATATAATTCTTATTTGTACACGTCAACCAATTTAGAGTATGAAAGATTTCTGCAGATTCTGCAGAGATATCCTTATTTATTATAGATACATGTTTATTTATTTCATTAATTATTTATTTATTCACTCATGGATACATCTCAAATAGGTAGGAGTATGTGTATAAAATGATTGTAAATTCTGATATGATTGCACTATCATAAAAACAAAATGTTTTGGAAACTGGTTGCTGAGATTGTTTTACTGTGTATAATAAATATTTCTCTTGCTTCCAATTCTTCCATGAAAGATAATATATACAAATGTAAATTAGGATCCAAAACTCCATATAGATGTGTAGCTAATTATAATGATACACCGATGAAATACTCAGGTATGTTCCGAGACCAATAGTTATGACATTTTGATATGGATGCGTTTGTGTATGTGTGTATGTATTGATATGGTTCTTTTCTATTTTTTTTTACTACAGGTTGTGTAGAAAAGAAAATCTGGTTGCTTCTACGGCATGGGACTCGGTATCCAGGCAAAAAGTACATACCTCGTATGCTAGAAGAATTACCAAAATTGCAACATATAATATTAGAAAATTACGAAAATGGTAAAACAAGACTGTCAGCTAATGATGCAATATTGTTCAAAGAATGGAGACCAAAATTGACTTTGAATGATATGATGAAATTAACAACAGAAGGAGAAAATGAAATGATCAGTCTTGGGGAGAGGTATCAGGCAAGATTTCCATCTCTAATGCCAGAAATCTACAGCAATCAGACCTACAAAGTATGTGTGACTAAATACTTATTAAATGTAAATTTGTGTTTTTCAATTGCCAGCTGTTGAGTTTTAGTTTAGATACACATTGACTCAACGTACAGAGGAGAGCGCAAGACACTTCGCTGCTGGGTTATTTGGTTGGCGAAGTAGTCAAAACGTTTTGTATCCAGAACCAGTATATAGAGACCCAATACTAAGAGTAATTTTATTTTATAATACTTTTAAATTTTAAAAGATTTCAACATTTAAAAAAATATGACTTACTAGAGACGTTCTCTTTCTTTTTGTGTGTTTTCTGCTATTTTAGATAATTACTTCTATATATTTTTAGTTTTACAAAGCCTGTCCTCGCTGGCGTCAAGAAGTTGACAAGAATCCAAATGCAATAGTAGAGAAGAGAAAATTTTTGAAGAGCAAGACTGTTATTGATATGTTAGATAATATTAAAAACTTTATCGGCCACAGTGTCAATTATGGTCAGCACATGATTATTAGATATTCGATACATGCATGTAGATTCTCATTCGATGTGATGCTTTTATTTCTAATTAAATGTAATTATTATGTGTTTCAGAAAGTGCACATTTAATGCATACCATGTGTGCCTTTGAGACTGCTTGGGAGCAAAATGTAATATCTCCCTGGTGTAAGATATTTTCCTTAAATGATTTCAAGGTGAGTTTCTTGAGAAATTACACGTTTGATTTCTGTACATATAAAATGTCAAATTAAAACATGGAAGATTTTCATTTATTTCAAGATTTTTCCGAAATAAAATATTTTGTGCATTGAATCTTTTGAATTTATATTTTACAGGTATTTGAATTTGCAGAAGATATAGAATATTATTGGATCGATGGATATGGATATCGGTTGACTTATGAGCAAGCATGTTCTGCCTTAAAAGACATGTTCGACTTTTTCGCGTATGTTACTTAAATGATAAATTCGATTTTGCTTTTGCAAAAACATTCAAAGAATATGGTTTATTTTACAGGTCCAAGGAAAGCCCAATAACAACAGCTTATTTTACACATTCTGGAACAATTCTCAAGTTATTGGCTTTGCTTGGAGTGGCTAAAGATACACATCCTTTGATGCACGATTCTTTTGCATCGCACGAGAATGATAAGAGAGAATGGAAAAGTAGTATTATTGATGTATTTGCATCCAACATCGCATTCGTTTTATATGAGTACGCTTCTATCTTGAAATTATGTGCCAAGTCACATGTATTTTCATATATAATTATCTGATTTCGCCCTTCCTTTTTGTAGTTGCACATCTCAAGGTCTCAGTATTTTATTCATGTTTCAAGAACGACCGTTGTATTTGCCAAACTGCCCAAGTGACATGCCATGCCCAATGGCTACTATGAAGATGGCATATCCTGATAGCGATGAGGAATGTCAATTTGATGCTATGTGCCATGTGTCAACACAAGAAAATTGAATTAAGAAATACTCCTGTGACAAATTTTGTACATTCATGTATGCTGTATTGCTTACTAGATTTAAGATCATTATACATTTTCAACAGAATACATTCTGTTTGAGGAAATAATATATTAAATATTATTTAGAAATTGTGATATATATGTAAGTGTATAACATAAATTCCCATGTATGTAAAAAAAGGATGAATAATGTCGTTATAATCACCTGTTACGTACACATAACTAAGTGAGAATAATTAGTAACGTAAGGGGTCTCTTTCTTCAATACACAGCCCTGAGGGAAGCCACGCCACTGTGCGTGTGTAATTGTCGGTGACGTTTGTAAACTTATAGGTGTACCGTTGCACAGGAGGTTATATGCTGCGTTCTTTTTAATTATTATCACGAAAAAATGGTTCGCACCGATTGGGATCGAATATTATCTGTGAACGTCTCGTCTTTAACGGATGAAGAAATCGAAGATCTTTTTCCTACTGTAGTCCAATGCGACGTAGACGAGATTACTGATGTGCACAATCTGCGAATCCTCATGAGACTGTCTCAAGAAATCATGACTTATAAAGACAATCAAGTAAATAACTAGTTATTTATCGTGTATTTTTATATCTTAAAGATAGATACAGCAGTCCTGCATTAATTCTTCCGGTGTTCTTACCCACAGCAATCAACTCTCCTTCTCCATAATATTTCAGAAACGTGACTTTTCCCATTCACTCTGTTATACATAATGGTATAATTTAACTGCATTTTTCTTAAAAAGAAAAATTATTTGTTATATATTATAAAGTTTTTTGTGAATGTAAATTGATTGGAACTATTAACGCATATGTGTTATGTATTAATATAATATTTGTTTATATATCATCTGATGGTTTAACATAAAGAAAATTTATTTAAAAACATATGGTTTAACATGATGAAGAGAATTTATTTAAAAACATATTTTGTTATTAATCCATCTTGTATAGTATATATTTATTGATATTAGGTAGAGGCTTTGCTCCTTGAATGTGGTGAATTGAAGGAAACAATAGCTTCATTACGTCCTGAGGCTGCTAAACGAAAGATCAGAGGTATCTTGTGTTTATATGATACTTATAATACAATAATAATTATTTATCGTATAAGATCATTAGACAATTTAAAATATATTTATACTGCTATTACTTCGATAGATCGTGATATATCTACAACGAGACAAGAGTCCGATGGTATTAGCAAGGTAAATTTTCATAATGCAACATTTGTAAAACAAAATATTTTATATTTTATATAATAATTGAAGTTTTGTACATAAAGAGTGTAGGTTTATTGGAACATACTCCTTATACAGATACGCAAGGAAAAAATGAGAAAATTAAAACCCTCATGGTGGAACTAGAAGTAAGTGTAAATAATGAAAAATTATTATTACAAAGTTTTGCTGTTAATAAGATTTTTTTTTTGTAGACTTTAGATAAGGAAAATGAGATTCTTAAGGAGCGGTTAACAACATTAAAAGATGAGATGGAAGATGCAACGGAAAAAATGAATGAAATGACTGAAGAATTACGCTCCACTCAAATAAAAGATGCGGAATATAAAGGTACTTTTATATATATATAAAAGATATATTTTAAATAAACACAAATGTCAATTTGATGTTATGCTTTATATATTATATATATTATAGACAAAATATTGACATTGGAACAAGAAAACGCAGCTTTGGTTATTCAAATCAGAGAAGTAACAGCACAACAAATAGACAGAGACAGAATGTTGGATGAATTTGGCGCAGCTATTGATGCTAGAATGTCTGAATGGAAGGTATAGAAGAAATTTAACATTTATATTAGAAAAATAGAATCGAGACGCATTTATTTATATTCGTATTATTCTTATGTTTGTCAAGGATATATTAGACGAAAAGGACGATGAAATTACACGTTTGAAAGAAAACTTATCGCAATCTTTAAGGCAGTCTGTTACATCGGTTAAAGAAGAAAATAAATCTGAGATTATTCATCTAAATGACGAAATAGTTCGCCGAGATGCGATTATAATTGAGTTGCAGGCTAAATTATCGGAAGCTGTTGTTGAAATAAATGAGAGTGCAACACTTATAGACAAATTAAAACGAAAAGTACAGGAGTAAGAAATATTTGTAAAGTACATTTAATTGTTTAATTGCTTGTTTTTAAATTATTGATTTTATTTACTCCATAGGCCTGTAAAAAGCGACAAACGGAAAGAACAAAAAAATTTGTTGAAAAGGATACAAAGTGCAAATGAAAAAATTTCTAATTTAGAGAATGCATTATCCCAAGCACAAGATGATGCGAAATCTCAGAGTAGCAAAGTGAGATATACACATTTTAATATTTTGTTTATATAAAACTATGTACAGAATGTACCATGTGTATTATTACTATTAATTTTATCTAATTAATTCTTTATTTTCTGAAACTGATATTTTCTAAACAAAAATTATACAGAGTATTCTACTTTTATACATGCAACTTGCAATTTTTAAGATTAAATAGTTAATCCTAAAAGACAGACATTCTGTGTATATTTCTTCTCTGTTATAAATAATATGTTAATTAATAAATTTATATGTAGTTGTGTGACGTACTGTCTACGTTAAAACAATACGAAGAAGGAAATGAAGCTTTAACTAAAGCGTTAAACGAAATTAGAGAATTAAAAATCAAATTGGATTACAAAAATGAACATATAGAAGATTTAGTTAATGTTGTTAATAAACTGGAGATGTTAAATTCGTATCAAGAGATGGAAATTTTAACTCTTAGGTAAAATTTTCAAGACTCTTAATTTATAGCGTATGTGAAAGAAGAAACTTAAATATTATCTTTCCATATCACAGAGAAAAGTTAGGGATCCCAGAGGATGAATCGGTATCGATTAAAAGCGTTGTAGCGAAACGAAAAGAGGAATCAAGGAAACTAGGAGAGCTTGTTCAGCAAAATAAAAGCCTCGTAGAGGAAAATTTAGAATTAAAGTCAGATGTAAGATAATTTATGTAAGATATGAATTGATTCGTAAGCATTGTAACACATCTATTCGAGACGTATACAATAACTTGTGACACGTACTCGAATATTTATGAATTATTAATTCTTGTAGATAAGGATATTAAAATATAAATTAAGCAAGTCTGAGAAGATATTAGACACTTCAGATAATTTAGGTGACTCTAGTGATCAGTTTTTACACTCGACTAAATTAGCCGAATCGGAAAGTATGCGAGTACGTTCCAAAACTGACATCTCCGAAGTTAGTCAAAATATTCAGATATTTATAGATGAAAATGAAGCGCTTAGAACAGGCATGCACGAGATTATGGACAGTATACGCAATCAAGATGGTGAATTTTAGCTAACTTTAATGGTACTTTAAGTGTTGCACACATATTTCCATTTTATTACACCCTTAGATCTCTCTTCTACTTAGCAATTTTCTATTTTTTTTTTCCTTCTAATGTGGCGTGTTTGAATGTTACTAATTATATAAAATCTGCTTAATTTCTTATTTTTTCTGTTTTCTTGCACAGGTATGGGGTATTTGCTGCCTCTCGGGATTTTGATGACTATTTTAAAAATAAGTAGATAACATATAATTTTCGTATGTTTCTTATTTTAGGTAAGAGCGGGGTGGAGATACAATCCAGTACATTGGAACGATTGTTGGAAGCTTTAGATGTTAGACATTTAGCTGGTTGGTATCATCCAGCTATGAGATTACAGGAACATCTTAATGTAGTGCAAGGTAGCAATGCTGAATTAAGGTCGCAGCTTAAATTACTGAGGTACTTCGCAATTGATTAAAATATTTACTATAACTGTATTATGTATTATTTTCCTTTTACAACTAATCACTGTTGATTACACGATTACAGAAAAGAATTGCAAAGGAAAGATGATATATTGCAAGATTTGGCGGTAAGTAGAAATATAGACGTCGAGAAATTGTACGAGAAGTACAACGAAGAAGGCGAAGCGATGACGATATATCTTACGGAAATGAAAGCTCTGCAAACGGCATATAAGAATGAGGCGGAAGAGTGGGAGAAGCAAAAGGATTTGTTGGTTCGAGAGAACAACGAGTTGAAGGATGAGATGGATAGCTTTAAGAAGCAACTAAACGTTTATAAGGAAAATCTGCGGATTGTAGAAAGTGGAGATGACGAAATCCAGAAAGCACTGGTGACAAAAACGAGAGAATATGCGGACGCCGCCAATGAAGTAATTATCGCGAACAGGAAAGTCACTAGTCTTCAACAGTTGCTTAACAAAGAAACCAGTAGACTGTACGAGTGTCAAAAGGGGATAATCAAAAAAGAGAGCGAACTCAACAGAGCCCTTGCGGACGCAAACAAGCATAACAAAACGTTACTGTCAGAAGTTTCACTCTTACAAAGTAATTTGCACAATTCTGTGAGTGCGGCTGTGCATAACGAGTTGAAAGAGGAACACGAGGAACTGAACATACGCTATCGCGCTTTGTTAGAAACTGCGATGACGTCTTCCGACTGCGATGAAGTATTATCCTTGAAAGCCGAAATAGAAACGATAAGGCAGGAGAAGTATCAACTCGTGGAAGATTTGCGACGGCAAGTCGACGACCGTGAGAACGACAATTTGCAGCAAAGTTTGAAGGAAACGGAAGCCAGAGAATTGATCGAGAGACAACGAGCGGATCAGATGGCCAGATTGCATGAGATAACTCAGGCTCAATTGGCGAAATGCGAAGACAGTGTTAAGCGACTTACCGTTTCGAATTCTGAATTGCAAGAGAAATTGATCGAGACCCACGGGAAATTGTCCAAGGAGGTAGCGCTGCAGGAAGCCATCCCAGTGGACGATAATCGCACGCAAGAGCTGCAGAATGCAAATGCTCAACTTACCACAGAGAACGCAGGTTTGAGGAGAGCGCTGCAGATTTCTCAGGAAGAGGCTCAGTTGCAGTATTCGCTGAATTCACTGCAGACACTGGAATTGGACAGTCTCAGGCATCAGATATTAGACCTGCAAGCTGTGAGCGAAGACAAGGCCACTATTTCGAGACTCGATTTTGAGCTTACGAGTAAGAAGATAGCGGAAATGGAATTAACCGCGCAGAAAACGCGACTGCAGAACGAGCTGTCTTCCACGCAGCAAGAGCTTGACAACTCGAAAAGGAAATACGAGGAGATGCGGGATTACGTGCAAGACTATCGGAAACGATGTGACAACCGTTGCAAGTAAAATAAAAAAAAAACTTGTTTACCTTTCTCAGCTATTTTGAGCTATTTATATCTGCGTTTGTACGGAAAATACCTTCTAACATTCTGCGTGTTCCAGATATTACACGGACATCATATATTTTTTGCAATGCCAGTACGCGGGATCAACTTCCGTGAGTAGTTTGGAAAAAGTGGTCGCCCTCGCCGCAAAATTGAAGACGGACCGACGGGACGTCGATTTGGAAATGCGTAAAGTAAAAAAGTGCCACGAAGATGTGAAGCACGAACGGCAACTCTTGTCTACGCGCCTCGAGATCGTCGAGCGTCTGAAAGATATATTGGAGCAACAGATTGGCGCCGGCAACGTCCAAAACATAATGGAACACTTTGCGGAAACTTCACAGCGGACACTGAGTGTAAGTTTGCGTTGTGCAATTCAATATAAGAACTTACAGTAACAACAACGGTTACATTAAACCAGTCAGTAACTGTGGTAGATTAGTAACTTCCGAGTTTAAACCTTAGCACACAGATTTAGAATAAATTTGACGCGAAAATCTTTGTATATCTGTTGAATAGGATTTTAAATATAAACGACGAATAGCTCACTTGGAGCACGAGCTTCAAATAGCCGGCAGCAAGTTCAACGAATACGAGTCAGTGATTGCCGGCATGGAACAGGACGTGATAGATATTCAGAGAGCTTGGTATCCGCAACAAGATCATCAACTCCGGCTTAACGCGCCGATTTTGGAGACAAAGTCCGTTCAAGCAGCGGCGGAGGTCCGGGTGGTCAGTGTTCAAACAGATCCCTACACTTGTTGTCTGAATGACAAGGTCGAGGAAGGCACAGCTAAGGAGAGCGAAGTTTCCCAGGATATTCGGGACTCGTCTGAACCAGGTGAAACCATCGAAAAGACATTCAAAGATGCGGGAAGCAATACGGAAGAGAGCGGTAGCTCCGCGCAGCGTCTTAACGAGCAGTTAGACCAAGCGCTGAAACTCGTGTCGGAACGCTCCGCGATGCTCGCCAAGTGCGAATCGCAATTAGTCGAGTGTCAGGCAAAGATGGGCGGTTTAACAGAGGCGATGAAGGAGAAGGACTCGCGCCTTGCCCAAAAGCAAGATGTACTCGACGAGTTAACGTCTCAGTCGCGCGCCACGGACGTCGAGTGCACCGACAAGCTGGCTTTAAAATCGACGATAAACAGCTTGCAAAAACTAATCAGTCAAAAGGAGGAGACCATTCTGAGGTACCAGCATCTGTTGAAAGAGGACCGGGACGAGCATAGTCGGGCAGCGAGTCGTTTTCAGGAGGAGATTAAGAGCTTGCACGACCGTATCCTGTCCGTGCGGAGTGAGACAAGAAGAAACGGAGAGTCGACCGTGAAGAATATCCTCGGAAAAGCGCCGGCTTCTACGTTCCACGAAAGCTCATCGAGACCGCCGAGGAACAGCGCCGCGCAGGAGGAAGAGATTGTCAGGCTGCGCGAAAAGGTATCCACCTGCGAAGCGGAATTAAATATCAGCAAAGAACTGAGCGATCGTTGGCATCGGTTGGCAGAGGAAAGATTGAAACACATGGATCGTATGAGAGAAAGGTATCGTCCAATGGCAGCGCGTAACGTTGGTTGATAAGTTTAACTTTATTTTTTTTTTTTTTATATCGACAATATTGTGAGTAATTGTCGCTTTCGTAGATTAGAGCAACAGCATAAAACCGAGCTCGAGAGCTATCGTGGTGAATTGAACAAGTGGCAGGCGGAGGCTGACACGCTCAGACAACAATTATCCGAGAACCGGGTGTTGCTCACGAAAGGAAATATCTCCCTGATGAAGGAGCTACAGGAGAAAGACGACAAGATACATGAACTGAGTCTCACTTGCCAGCAATTACAGGTGCGATTACACAATGTCGTCTCGTTCACTTACAGAATAATATTATGTATAATTGTTAAATCTCCGTTATATTCTTCCGTATCGCAGAATGAAGTCGAGTTAATGGAGTCTGCAGGCCGACCTCAGCAGGTAACAGCTCGTGCTGATACGAAGGCGAGCGAGACGGCGTACAATAGCCATCGTGATCAACTGCAGCAGCAAAATCAAGCGGACCTCTTGCGGCGGCAGCTTCAGTCTCTCATGGAGAAGGAGAAGGCGTACAAGTACGAAATAGCCGATTTGAAGCAGCAGCTCAGTCGCAGGTATATATATTATATTTCGTGGTATTTTTCCAGCCGAACCTTTTCGTCGATTCTGTGAAAATCTCGCCTCTAATGTGTACGAAGTATGTATGTGAAGTGCATATTAATACTAAGATATTGACTTATTTTAGGTATATGGCGATAAAAGCGCAGGAGAAGAAGACGTCGCAGCGTGAAGCTCAACTCGAGCGCAAAGTTGCGTCTCTCGAAGAGGAGTTGTATAAAACGAAAGCTCAGTTGGATCGTGAATACCTGGCGCAAGAAGCTAAAAAGGCGAAGGTATGTAAATCAGAATATCACCGTGTGCACGTTACGGTTCCTAATGCGTGCCTCTTTCGGCAGACCGCGGAGGAACTTGCACTGTGGGAGAAACAGAAAAAGTGGCAGCAAACGGCGGAGAAACTGAAAGGGAAACTTAAAGAGAAAACGGACGAGTACGCGAAATTGCTGGCGAATCACGAGAAACTTCGATCCGTCGTCTCGTGTATGGAACGAGAGAAATGGTATTTAAGAAGCAGGCTTAAATCCGAGGCCGATAACGTGTCCGGCGATTCGTCGTCGAGACTTTTGTCGAGTGTACAACGTAAAACGGTAGATGAACTGGAGAAAGAATGTTTAACGCTGAGAGAACGTGTTAAAGAATTGACCGAACGCTCGGGGAAGGAAGGTGATGAACAGCTCATGTCGGAAATAGCGAAACTGAAGCGCCACAATGCCGCTCTGGAAGCGGTCTCTCAGGTTCGTGTGCTTTCGTGACATTTACCGATCTTTGTAATTATGTGGCGATTATTACCGAATGATATTTCACAGGGCAATATGTGCGTGATCAGCCAGCTGGAAAAATTAGAAATGACCAAAGATATTCTGGAAAAGATGAATCTCAAGCTGGAGAGTGAAAATTTCGAGCTGCGGCTCGCATTAGAGAGGACGAATTCGGACACTCCGCGATTGCGAGAGAAAGTGAATCATTTGGAAAAGTGCTCTTACTAGAATTATCTTTCTATATTCAGAAAACGCAAATAGGAGTGAACAATTGATATCATTGTATTATTATTATTATTACAGATATATAAAGTTATTGAAAGTAGAAAAATCGTCAGACTCGACTCCTAGATCGTCAGATAAAGACTTGCCAGAACCACGCGCTAAAAAATCTACTTTCGAAATGGAGAAAACAATATTTACATTGAAGCGAATTGTCGAGAAGCTGCAGGCAGAGAATAAAAGACTGAAATTTAGTTCCAAGAAAAATCATATTCTAGTCAATCAAGTAAACCACCAACCTCTTCTTTAATATTGCATAATATACGTTTATCTTTTGTTACATTAAATATATTATTCTGGTCACTTATTTCGGATGCAGGAAAGGACAAATAGATTTGACATTGAAGGAGATACTTTACTTCAAGGACAATACGAGGAATCTCAAAAACGTGTGATAAGCTTAGAATCGGATTTGCGACTGGCTGAACAGAGAATAGTTATGTTAGAAAAGGCTCAGAAAGAAGATGATAACGGAGACTTGAAAATTTTGAGGCAACAGCTAATCCACAAGTCTGAGCTTCTGGAAAAAGTGAAACAGCTGTTGACTCGTGCAGCCATCAACGAAAAAACGTTGCGGCAACGTGTAAGAATTTAAATTACGCATGATAGAAAGATTAGCTAGAAATTGTCCGTATAATCTCGTTGTTACCAGGTGCAACAGCTGGAATCAAAGCAAACTCTATCGACAATCCCGGAGTGTTACGTGACTCCACCTACACCGAAATAATGGGTGTTTTGGAAATAAGCGCAATTTTAAGTAAACTTAGATAGATTTGCAGTGAAAGTCATATATTTTTATCAAGACAAATGTATACACACATATATTTTATTCGTGGTTTCTCCGCCAAACATTTATTTCAAGTGGAACCTTGTCTTCTTTATCTTTATCCAGTGCTTATGTCGTGTTTTACAATGATTTTATACGCATAAATATGATCGTATTAATTTTTTGTACACACACAGGCGCATAATGTTCATGTGTAAATGGAAGAAGTTGCTGTTATTCTAAGACATTTTTTTGTATATCTAATATATGTATCGTATTGGCGGAAACAAAGTGAAATTTTTTTATGTTTCACGCAATAAAACATGTGTAGACAAATTGTATCTATTCGTTGTAATTCCAAAGTATTAAGTACATACAGAGAAACGCTAACCATTTATGCCCGTTTTTACCAACGTTGATTAAAATCTTAACCCGAGTTTAAGTCTTTGTCCGAGGAGAATTTAAAGGCTTCAATTTAAGGTTTATCAACGTTAATTGGAAACGGACGTTAGACGTACGAGACACATCATCGTAAGAATTCTGCCTAGCTAAAAACATCAATGATGTTTATTGTATTCTAAACGCATAAGGAAAAGAAAATATTTTGACTTAAATTATACATTGCAACGATGTATACATATGTCGGAAAACACAATTCTAAACGAGGGTATTCTAATATTATAAACGTTTTATATATATATTGATGTTTGAGCAGTCATATATATAACTTATTTTCTTGTAAAATTAAATATCTTCGAAATGAAATGCACTAAGATCGACATTCCTGTCTGGTCGCTCAATGTTGCATAAATAAAAAAGCCCACTTTAGATACGTGCCGACATATTTCTTATGTATAACACGATTTATTTTAATTTTAATTTTACTTTCAAATGTTGGAATCATCTCGAGTCATCTTGCATACATTTTGGATTATCCTAGGCGGGAGAAATTTCTAAAAGACTTTCTAAAGATGTCTGAAAGATATCTAAAAAAAAGAAATAAACGTCTTTTCTGGACATCATTTAGAAATTTATTTTGTGTCAAAGGCGTTACGTTTCAATAAATATGTGAACGAACCGTGATTGGTTGTCAAACATCGGGTGTTTCGATACATCGAGATTTGCAATTACCGCAAACGTCAGTTACGTCGGTCAGTTATGCCAGGACGATCGTGACGAGACGGCGTTCGAAACCTCGTCCTGTGTTTCGTGCGATTTTAATCGGTTTGAAAATCAGTTACCGCTGCTGAAAGTGCCGAATGCAACGTACATTTGTCGTAGCAAAGTATTGTAGTGAAACAGTCCCGAGAAGGGGGTAAATGCCCGAAATCGCAGAACAAAGTGTCGGCTGTGTCAGCCGAACAATGTCGCGATCAGGCCGTTACGGCGATCGAAAGTTCAACCGCTGCTTTTCACGTTTCTGACTCTCCGGAGAGGAGGTTTTTCATGCGAAATGGAGTCGCAGGGACAGGAATTAAGTCTCTTGTACTTGTCGTAGCGAGATATCGTCGAAAATACTGCCAAATCAAGCGTTTCGCGGAACCATTGGTCGACGGTATCGAGTGAAGTTCGCTCATATTCGTACTTCGAGAATCGTAATCTGTTCGTTACGAGTGGTCAATTAAAAGATGGCTATCACGAGAGGCGCGACGCCGACCGCTCCTCCCGCGTTTCACGTCGTTTTCGGACGAAAGTGCGAGCTTCCTCCACGAATTATCGCGTCCGGTGAGAACGCCGAATGTGGGCCTCGCGTTCGTCTCGTCTCGCGTAACGAGTGTCGTGATAAACAAGCGCGGAAAGTGCATCGGTCAGGAGTGTCAGGCAAGTGTCGTACGTTCGTCATGTTCTTCACCAAAAAGGATTATCTCACGTGAGGGCCGTCATCGGGAATGTCAACACAGTGCAGCGTCTTCGTAGGGTCGCAGCAGCGGAGAATTCAAATCGCAGCTTCGGCCGTCGTGAAAAATGTTTGTCGGTACCGATGTATTAATACGGCGGAGGCCGCAACAGATGGCGCCTCTGCATGTCTTCGGTATGTTGAATCTAACGTACTGTTCCTGAATTTACGTAAAAAAATCGAGCAACCAGGGTCTGCTCGAAGTACGATAAACGGAGCGTTATTATCTGAAACTAAGAGTCGAAGTGAAAAGAGCGGTAAAATTTAAAAAACAATGTAGATCTCGAGATAAACGGAATTTTCTCGTGCGTTTTGACGATCGATATTAATGTCTACGATGAAATCTAAATCTTATTCAGATGACATTACTCGTGAGATCTTAAAACAAAATAACGGTCCCGCAAGAGAAAACAGTCGGTAATGTCGGTAGTGACTGACCCGGCCAACCAGGCGTCGACAATTATCAGGAACGTTATCCCGGGTCGATAGTTTCTGCAATACCTTGTCGGTATGAAATATAATTTCCTAAATCCTGCCGCGCACTTTAAATTCATCTAAAGCGGGCTCAACGAAAAGATGATAATTTACCACGTGAATTACGATAGATGTGTGTGAATTCGGTTTCGCTGACGGAGGTGATCGATTCTTCGATTGACTAGATTCGGCTTCCTGAATACTTTCATACCGCATTCACGATCTTCTCATCCCAGAACAGGAAAATAACAATGACGTCAAAATAATATCAAAATGAAAACGAGATAATGGTTGTAAAACTCATTCTTCGATCATTTTTTCATTATTTCGACGTCTTCATTCTCACGCCATCTTTCTGTTCTGCCTGAGATTGTGGCGAATTTACATGTATAATTGCGATGTTATATCACATCATAATTATACACGTAATGATTACGGCCGCTAATGAAATACTAAGAACTTAAGATTAGTCGCTCGGTATCTTTGTACAATTCTTCCATTTATCGCCGCGGGTTATTCCGACGTATGACGCGTCAAAGTTTAAAGAGCTGCTCTCAATTATTGGTACATTGTTATCGCGTCATTCAATTTGCACTTATGAGTCATAGCTATGCCTCTGCAGAATCGTTACTTTTCATTTGCGACTTCCGTGAGACGCGACAATAAAAATTGCGAGTGCTGCATACACACACACACGCGCGCACGCACACATTATTAACATACTTATTAAATTAAGCGTCCTAGCGTCATTCAGCGAAAACAATTGACATCGAGACTCACGAGAATCTCTTCGGCGAAGATCCAATTACGCGCGACAGCCGAAGAGACAGGCCTGTGTGACAGATCTTGATGATTAATAATCGCTCTCATCGGGCCCCTGAAGATACGGGCGAATCGAGTCCTCGTCCTCGCAGTCCGGAATGAACTTGCCCTTATACTTCACGCAAAAATCAGCGCACTTCTGTACCTTAAAATACGTGCCGTACATGTCCCTGCACTGGGCGCAATTCCTTATGCAAACACCTGTACAGAGCCAATTTGTACAGACGATAAAGCGATAAGTACCATCGGTAGTTCGTGAAAGATTCGCGTCACACGTAACTGTGGAATGTACGCTTGTACTCACCGACATATCTCTCAGCATAAGTCGTGGCCGTTGTAAAGCAGAGAACAGCGAAGACGACAGCGAGCAGTACGATGATGTATCGGTTAGACGAGCTCATGACTAAAACAAATGTAGGCGTTAGACTCTCGTCGACGACCCTACATGGGTGAGGTGACGCGGGTAAAATTTTTCAGGTCCAATATCAGCCTGCCGATATTTTAAATTTTAAATTCGTTCCGCATATTACAGTCACACGGAGTTATGTGTCATATTTCGCTTATATTGGAAATATATGAAACAACAAAAACGCACGTGTGTGTGTGCGCGCGTGTGTGTGTGTGTATGTGTGTGCGTACGTATGGAAGAAGAAAAAAGAAATAGCTCCCACAAATAAAAATTAGCTCCTAAAAATAAAAATTAGCTGTCCATATGATACATCTAAAATTTCGTTGATTTAGCTCATTTTTTCGCCCTTGTGCCTAGTTTTTAACTCCCATAGCGAAAAACTAGTCCTGGTGACTAAATTTCAGTTGTATTATACGGGCAACTAATGCCTTTCTTCTGTGTATGTTGTGCTATAAAAATATAAAAATATAAAATCTCAACGTGGCACAGACGTTTGACTGCACCGATAGAAAATTATAGTTAGTTTTTGCGCCAAACATTTTATAGCAGCAGCAACATGAATGTAACGTTATTATCGCTACAGTAACATTTACCGGAAGAAAAAATGATTCGCTGGATTTTTCGCGGTTAACAGGTATGTTTCACGCCGAAACTAACTGTAACTTTCTATCAGTGTGGAAAGTGACGGTCCATAAATAACTTCGGTGCGTCTTACGACAGTGTGACGACGCGAAATCGAAACTATGAATTCTAGTTGTGAATTCTACGCGAGAACTGTTCTTACGTAATGTCGTTTGAATATTAACGATGATGTATCGCTGATTCGCGTGGTTATAGGATTTGCCGGTCTCAATGAAGCCGAAGAAGGTCGAGTATGAACGAACATGGGGGTGATATCCTCCCTTCGAAGTGCCAATTCCCAGAAAGAAATACGGGGCTCGCTCTCTCTCACACACATACGCACACACACTCAATGTTTGGTTACATTTATCTTTTCTCTGACCGCTCTTCTCTCGAGACGCCGTTCTATCTCCGAGTTTACAACCTCCCGTGTTCGTAGTAGCGGCCGGTGGTGGCAACGAATCGTTCGTCGATCGAATTCACCAGGAGTCGGCGAGTTTTCCGTTTCGCGTCGACTACGAAAGACAAAGCTCACTCGCACGAAACACCGCGACGAAAGAGATACTCCACAAAAGTGTGGTGAGAAAACGCGAGTGAGATACTCTCTCAGTCGCTCGTGTCGATGTCGCGTTCCCGCTTGTTGTTCCCGGTTTGCAATTAACGTTCGCTCGCTCGCTCGTTCGCTCGCTCGCTCACGAGGAAGGACAGAGAGGGAGACCGGCCGGAAAGAACTCGATGAACTCTCAGGGATAACGCGGATGTTAAAGATGTCTCTCTCTCTCTCTCTCTCTCTCGGTTTCGACGAGAAAAAAACGACGAAAATCGAAAGAAAGAAAAAAAGGGGACGAGACAAAGGAGATTAAAAGAGAACCCGTTAAGCGTGCGCGCGCGCACGCGCTCACATACCGTACGCGATATGCTATACGTCTTACTACTCCGGTGAGGTCGCGCGCCATCGGCATACGAAAGCCCGGCTGCGGTACGACGAGGTACGGCGCGTGTGGCGCAATTATTTCTTTTGATCGATGGAAAATGTATGTGTCGTGATGCCTGCAGATGCGTCGTCGTCGTCGTCGTCATCGTTGTGTCGTCGATGCGCGAACGAAGGTCTTTCGTCATATTTCCTCGTATCTCGCCCGAGATAAGAGTGAACGCGTCATCGTCGTCGTCATCGTCGTCGCGTTGTTGTCGTCGTCCACGTCAGTGATCACTTTTTTATATATACGGTCATTTATAACCGGAATCTCGGGCGCGCTTCCGCGTTCGCCTTAACGGCCACATTGTGAACATATAAACATAATAAATATGGATGGAAGGTATCTCGCCGCTTTCCGTGCTGTCGTCGGCCCCTCTCTCTCTCTCTCTCTCCTTCTCTTTCTCTCTGTCTTTCTCTCTCTCTCTCTTCCCTCTCTCGATTTCCCCCTCTTTCTCGCCGTTCAGGAAGCACTTGAGGATTCAAGACCAAGGATCGCGCGGACAGCGTTCGATATCGATGTTAGCGTATTGCGCGAACAATAACGTCGTTCGCGCGATTTGACCGATTAAGCCGTAAATTGCATCGGCGATGAATGGGGTTTCGGGTGGGGAAATCCGCGATTTTTATCAGACACGACGCGGTGGAAAAAGCGGAGATATTTCGCGCGTCCGGAGAGGCGAGCCAATCGCAGGCACGGTCTCGTGCGTTTACCTGATCGGCACACAGCAGGCTGAAGGCGAAGCTGTTGGAATTGTTAAAAGCCCACGAATGACGCCGAGCGGATCTCGCCGGTCTTATATACCCGCAAATGCCGGATTCAACCCTCGCGCTAGGGGAAATCCCGCCGCGGGATCTTCCTGCGAAATTCAATTTCCCCCATTTCCTGCACTCAGAACGGCCCTTTTTGCAGTTGGAGCTACCTGTTACGTTATCTCTCTCAGTTAGAGAATAATTTCGTTAAACACGTCCCTCTCGTCTCTTTAATCCCCTTCTTCGGGGGATGAGTTTATTCAAGTTAGAAGAACTTAATTTTAAAGTGATGGTAAATATATTTGTCAGTCAATATTTCTCTTTTTCTTACTGTGGCAATATTTCTCTTTTTCTTACTGTGGAATTTTATGGTTAATATTTATTCACAGTAATTCGTTTCTTTTTCTCTCTTTTTCTCTCTGTCAACAATTGAATAAATACATAAAAACTCTCAAAATGTATAATCAGTAAAGGAAAATACAGGCAAGTAAGAGTCAGCGCCGATCTTGAGGCGAAAATATATTAAGGAAGATTGAAACGTTCATAATTAATGTAAATATTTCCAATTTTTGTCGACAATGTTTGAATTAATCATGAAAAATTGAACCTATCTAAACGTACACATACATATCAGTACACCTGAAAAGGGTTAATTCAACTCATTTCTCACACTCTCCCTATTCGCCCTGCGATAATTATTTTTGTATAATTGATTCATAACATTGATCCAACATAACGTCCATTCGAATGAATACACAAAGTCGATTGAGAAGAGTATATATCGTCGATATTTAATCTTCAATAACGTTCAATTACATCGCAACGACATTTAGCACCATAACGATATCGTAAAGTAAATATTACACAACAATTGATCCCTAATTACATAACATAATAACAGCATGATAATTGCAATTACAATTAATTGCGTATCACATTTCGCTTCGAAACGAGAACGCGTGCGATAACGGATGTGCAAGCACGGACAAAAAAAATTAGCTTCTACTAATTTCTAGCTGTGGGAGCTAATTCTTCCTTTCCGTCAGTCCGTCTTTCCGGCACAAAATTGCGCTTAAGCTTCCTCCTCTTCCTCCTCCTCCTCCTTCTCTGCCTCTACTGAATTATCTTTTCTACGAGGCGATTCGTATTCCAGGCTCCAGAAATTGTTGTATCTGATCGGCACCGCCTCGCCTTCTTTGATTTTTTTGTCCAGGTCCTCATCTAATCTGGAAAAACGATCCTTCTTATCCAAGATTCTCGACAACGTTTCGTGAACGTCCTCCCTGTTCCTCGACTCCTCCCGTTTCCTATCTTCCGCGGCCGTCGTGTTCTCCCGCAGCTGGCGCAGTACATCCTCTGTAAAATAACGGGACAAGAATTCGTCCTCCGTGTTGACCACGTCGGGCCGGGACTCTTCGTCGTCGTTGTCCTTTTCAAAAATATGCTTTAGAAAATCTCGATCGTCGGGAGGACCGTGAGCCCTGTTGCCGATCGTCTCGCTGCTTTTCCCTTCCTTCTCCGCGTGAGGATCGCGATACTTTTTTTCCGCCTCGTCGTCATCGTGCGAAGCGGCATTTGCGTCATTGTGGAAGTCTGCGTTTTTCACGAAGTAACCGTACCATCCTCCTTTCGGAGACGTGGTGTAATCATCGGTCTCGTCATCGCGATCGCTTTTTTCGATTTCCTCCGATTCGTCATCGCGATCGCTTTTTTCGCTTTCTTTCGTATCGACGTCATCGTGATCTGCACCTTTCTCATCATCTTCGTGTCTCATCTCCGCCTCGCTGGCGGCACCGTGCACACGCTCGAAAATAGGCTCGTTCTTGAGAAAAGCGTCCAGGTCGAACGGCTTGTTGTAGTCGTTGATGTCGAAAGTGATCGGCGCGAAATCCTCGACGGAGTCTTCGCGCTGCGCGGAGCGCGCCGATCCCGCGGAAGCTTCCGGGGCGCGATAAGCGTCGCTGCTTATATCATCATCCGAGTGATCGCGTGCGTCTCGCTTATCGGCGCATTCCGTGGAATTCTGATTTTCTGCGCAGCGCGAGACGTTCGTGTTTGACGAGCTTTCCAACCCGTCATTTCCGGCCTGAGTAGCCGGAAGTGATGGAAACTCGGCGTTCGGGGACTTGGAGGAGGAATCATCCGCGCGATAAGAGCTCCCGTGACCGGCGTAATCGCCATCATCGTACTCCTCCTTGTATTGGACTTCGCTCGCGCTACGATTGCCCTTGTCCAAAGTATCATCCCGCTGATCAGAGTAATCCGGCACCTCGACGTAAGGTATGTTAGCAGGGTCGTACAACGGGCCGGCCTTCTCATCGTGTTCCGCGTATTCCGCTCGATCATCCTTTTGCGAAGCTTTATCGACCGTGTCGGCTGGCGAAAGTGACGAACTGTTGGAATTTTCGCGGCCAGGAGGATACGGCGGTCCAGGCTCCGTGAGATCCGGCTTGTCTCTTCGGGTTTCCTCGCCCGCGTCTCCCGTCGTCGTCAAAGTGTCCTCGGACGAGTCGTCGATGTCGCTCTGAGCTGACGGTCGGTTCAGATCGGCCACCTCGGTCGCTTCGCTCGCAGCGTTCGCTCGCGACGACACGATCGGATCGCTCAATTCCGATTCTTCCACTGCATCCGAAATCGCAGTTTTCGGCTGCCATTGTTGATTCACCAGCGCCCAAAATCCAGATATGTAAGGGTCGGAAGCGGATATCTCTCGTGGCTGTATCGTGTAAGCTTCTTCGTTCGCTCCTTCGTCCGTCGTTCGCGCTTGCTCGTCTCCTTCGCGATCGGCTTCCTCTTCTTGCACGCACGAGCGGCCGGAAGCCGCCTTGAAAGTCTTACCTATCGGGATACTCGTGTCTCGTTTGGAACGAGCCTTCGCGTTACCGTACTTCACTTGGTGATTCCCCGACGTCGCGTTGATGATGTCCCAGATATGCTCGTATAGTTCTCGCTCCGGTTTCACGGTAGAAGCTACCGATCGAAGCTCACCTTTCTGCGACTGCGAAACAGCGGGATCTTTATCGACGCACGTGGAGTTGTCCGTTTTGTTGGAATTATTTCCCAAGGCACTGCAGCTGCTGATAATGTCGGAGTGGGGACGTGTACCGTTGATGTATTCCCAGATGCGTTTGTAAAACACAGTGCTCGGTACGGAGGTGTCGCCCGTTGCCTGGAGATTACGCGTGTTGGTTGCGCGTTTTGTGGTTGGGAGGAGTTTTCCCTGTTGAACTCTTCGCAAATTTTTAGTCGCCATCGCCCGATCATTTCCCGACTCGCGTAACGAACGTCTCGAACGTTTCCTCGCGATTATCTCCTGGATGGAACCTTTCGTTCCCTCTGCTGTTCGAGCGCTTCTTTGTACTCTTCGTCGCATGGTCTCTATAATTGTTGTAATCTTGACCGCGTCCATTTCGAGAGGCAGCTTTGTATTTTCATCTCGCTCGTCTCGGGGAGAAAATGTTTGCGACGCAATCTGTTGCTTCAGAGATCCTTTCGGCTGCTGCGGATGCGCATGATGCGTCCACCAAGGTTCGCTCGGTTTCTTTTCTAGGCTGTCCACCGAGTTTTTCCTCGTGAATGAAACCTTCGATCTGCTAATGAAATTGCTAATATAGGCTGGCTGCATTACGGGCTTAATTTCTGATGCAGCTTGTGCAGATTTCTCTGTTACGACATCCTGGAAAATTATCGATTTAAAATTAGAAACAATGTGACACAATATAACAATCGTGCAATTTTGTAAATCATACCGAAGGTAAGCATGAAGCGTTAATTAAAAGTAATAAATTATCGGAAATAAAAATAACGTTGACGTAAAACGTAACACGGAATATATTTTATAACATTCCATTATATGTTATAAAATATAATCCGATGTCGTTAATAATATATGGCATAATATATATGAAATCATGAAGGAAAATGTACATAAATTTTATGTTTCATACCTCGTATATAATTCTTGCGGTATCAAGCTGTACCCACGTGCGTGACTACTGTGTAATATATGTAATAATACATCGTGCCACTATGTTGTAAAATGATACTGATTTCCCAACGGGTCGTTAAACGTGTAACACCTTTTGCGGGCTTCTTTCAACCAACTTACGTGCACCTGCTGCTTGTTCGACGGGTCGACAGTAATACAGAAAAATAGGTGGAGGTTCATTAAATGGCACTCCTGTTAAAGTGACTTTATTCGTTGATTATAATTATATACAAAATACAGCATACAAATGACAATTACGCCGTCACAATGGCGCGGGAAACCTGCACTTCGGTCGCGAATTTGTATTTGTAATATAATTTAAAAAGGGCGAGAAATATCGACGTCGCGCAACTTTCCGAGCCACTGTGCGCGTGTATATTTACACCTTTACTCATTATACATACACACACATATATGTATATAATATCTCAAGCGATGGAAATTAATAAATTAATGTACTTAATTCAGCCATCAGGTGAAACCTATATGTGCGTTCGTACTCTGCGACATTGTGTTAAAAAAAAAAAAAAGAAGTCGTCGCTCAACTTCTTTTCGTTGTAGCTATATGATCACAAAATTTACATCGCGTCGCGTAAACAATGTAAATTACGTATATAAAATCATGAATGGACATACAGGCTAAAACGGCGATAGAAAAATAATGATTTGTCGCTCGATGATCAACAGTTGCTCAGTTCGTCGTTACTCGTTAAAACGCGACATTACTCTACGTATGCGACACAGTCTATGTTAAATGGATATGTATATCTGAACCTTTATCGTCGAGCTTAGAGAGCGTCTAGAGAGAAAGAGATACTTCAGTAAGTACAGTGATACTACACGCATACGTGCGCGCACCATTACGCATGCATACATATACATTCCCTAATATAAATAAGAATACGTATATAATCGATATCGATGATCGAGTCTGCCGCATTTCTTTCACATTCACGCGATGAACACGAGATTGTCTTTAGAGACAGAGAATGAGAACAGCAATGACGTATGGCGGATGTGGATATATTTTACGAGCAGGCGTTTGCCGTCCCCGGTGCACGTTACTTTCTCGTGAAGCCCAGATACGAAGCAATGCCGTTAATACTCTCAAAGAAGATGCGGTAAGCTCGCTGCCTGTCGTAGTGCTCCCGTACCATCGCCGGTTTCACCGGCCGTCCCGGCACGTCAAGCAATTGCTCCTCCACCCATCGCTATAGTACAATAGGTAATTGTAGGTACTGATGTAGGTGCACGGTGGTCGGCGGGGGGATGCGGGGTGAGAAAATGAAATGAGAACGAGATATACAAGAATGCGATCACGTATTTCGGGATCACAAACGCGATCATCTGATTCTGAGAGGAGCGGTATCGAGCATACGATACTGCCGGACGCGATACTTCACCTGGTATCGGAAGAGATACTTGGAAACGTAGACTGGGAATGTAGAACGATGCGAATGAATGACAACAGAAATAATTGATAAAATATATTTTGATGTGTGTTATTTTTTTCTGTCCGAAAATAACCTGAACTGAAATTCTCACGTATTTTATCGCGTGCGAAATGTGTGCGAAAATTACAATACAGCGTAAAAGAATACGATTACTGGACATAGGTAGGAAAGATTTATTTTTATATACATACTAGTATAAGCTTGAAAGAAAGTTTGAGAGGTGTGAAAAATGCTGCCGCGTATCGACCTGCATTTCCAGTTTACGAATGATACGAGTTTCTTTCCGCGACAAACGACGTTGCAGTAGAACGAAAATGAGAAAAAAGCGAAATATAAAACAGGACGATAATAAAAGCTTTATTGCTCGAAGTATCATTTAAAAAGATGGCACTTACAATTCCACATAGTAGTATGCGGTTACATTATGGATAGAAAGAGTTTAAAGATTTCAACTTAAATATACCATTAGTAACCACAATCGAAAGTACATAGTCAAATGATCGCGCTTCGCATTGAATACATAGACGGGGATTTTTATATAATTGACCGATACAGTTTTTTTCTTTTTTTTCAATCTTATTTTCAAAGGCACGAGACGGAGTGTCATTAAGATCAATTTCGGTGTACTTTGTGTACTAGAAATCGGGGAGAGGGGGGAGTACTTATTCCACAGAGTAGAGAGGACTAGATATTAAGCACTGCTACATAACGTTATAATGGTCCATGACGCTGAGGGAGCTGTGACAGACGGTTACGTGCAAAGAATGATTCGACTTGATTGTGATTCGCTATATACAAAAGGTGTATATTGATATACAGTATTGTGGGTAATGTTGAAGGCGTGACATTTTGTGTCGAAAGTAAAATCACTATAGTGGTTCTGGGGAAAATTGCTCTGAGCGTGTCGTATAAGAGACAATTAATATTAATGTATGGAAAGAGTCGGATAATAAGACACTAATAAACGCAATCTATACGATCAATGTACATGACTTAATAATATAATTACGGGCTATGGCCAGATCTCTCATAATGAGATTTCCAGACGTGTTATCCGTGCGGAATCACATCTGCGAGTTGAAATACAGCGTAAAGACACTATGTATTCGTTAAATAACGCTATGGTAAATAATCATGACAATGGGGAAGCTGCAAAGCTCATGGTTGTGCGTGAGAATGAAGGAGTGTCCAAATGTCATGTGGGGAAACCTATATCTACATCCACGAGATTTTTATCGAGGTTCCGTTCGGGGCCGATTCATTTATCAAGATGTCACACCGCGTGGAATTTTGATTTGCGAAAGTCGAAACGACTGCGTGTCACGCTACCGAAACGACGGGTCGAGTGTCATCGACACTGACCGAATCTGTGCTCCATTTCCATCGTGGCTACGTGGTTCAATCGAGAGTCGACTCGTTCCGTCTTAAAAGCCTGAGGTTTACTCTTTTTTTTTACTCTACTTTAATACGTGCATGCCTACGGGGTGGTCTTGGGTTAAAGTGCCTAAGGGTTGGGCTTCTCGACTCGTGACTCGCTTGGTTATGTAGTGGTGGTGGTGGTGGTGGTGGTGGTGGTAGTAGTAGTAGTTGGTGTTCGCCTAGGAGCGCTTTATTTATATCTAGAGTGGTGAAAGAGACCCTCTCTTATTTTCCGAACTGCCCGTACTGGCCCGCTAGATTACTCACGTATTGTGCGCCGTGACCCGTCGTAGGAAATTCGGCCCATTTCGACAAATCGATGCTTGGTAGAATCTGGGTTCGACACGGGACTCGAGGATTTCTGGCCATCGGAGAGATAAAAAGGTCCATTACAAAAGAGAAAAACAAACAAACAAGGTGAAGTTAATTTTTCGATAAAGAAAAAATCTTGGAAGCAGCGAAAAGTCATTTCGGGTCGGGTCAGGTAGCGAATAAAAATTAAGAGTTTATGTTATTTTATAAAAATTTCAAGAATGTGCAGAAGGGATCGTTGCATTATCGGCTGGCGACTAGTTGGGATTTTTCATCCCATAACTGTAATTTCTTGTCCGCCAACATAATTATGTAGCCACTGGAAGTAAGCGTTACATCACCTATCTAGTTACGATGTTAACACACGTTTGCTACCTTGTGGCCAGACACTCGCGAGGTTTTTCTACCCGGAAGACTACGAGGGAATCGGCAAAACTTACATGTCGTGATCGGGAAGTACCATGGGATAGATCTGTGTCGTGTCGATGAGATCGGTATTATCGCAGATCACTCGGGCGAGCTTTGTCTTTCGAATCTCGTTCAGTTGTTCTAGAAAAGTGAAAGCGAGAGAGCGGTTTGAAAAAGTAAACGTTTCGTTATGCGTCGGACGATTATCGAGTCCTTGGGTGGCGCGCCCGCGCGCGACTCTCGCCAATTCGAAAGGGATCTTACCGAGAGTGAAGGACGATGGCTGGTTCGGCAGCTCGTACCAGAATCTGTCGCCGCGACGTGAATGACTGAACTGCGTGGCGATCACGCAGGCGAAGGTTGGCCCGAGCATGCTACCCGGAAGCGGTCTTTCGGACACACCGCCTGACCATAAATCGATGTCTGCGGGATGTCTGAAAGCAACGCGGCCAGGTGTTATCTCGCGGTGATACGCTATTTTTAGAGCCGCGATCGGCCCGCTGACTGAGTAATGAGACGCGAGAGTTTGATCGATCGGCTTTTCGATATTCCGAAGGCTTCGCCGCCGGCTCTTAAAGAACGTGCGACACTCACCGGAAAATAGTTCTGTATCGTCTGATCGTCTCGTTCGGCATGGAGCCGAACAGCTCCTCGAAGTTGTCCGCTTCGGGCAGGCCGCAGTATTTCCTGAAACGATCAAATCACGAAAGGGCATGTATTTTTTGCACCGAGGAGAAAGTGATTGGTAAATTTGTGTGGGAAGAAAGAACTCGCTCGTTCCTGCGTGACTGAACTTTTCGTTGCCTAAGAACCAGATAAAAACTCGGTGACAAGAAATGGTATCTCGATTATCGCGACTGAGCATATTTTCGCGTGATTATTTAGCTGCGTTAAAAAACTCGATTGAGACGACCGAGAGCGACTGACTGAGTTAAAACCTCCTACGGGAACCGTTTCAATCGAATTCTCGTCCCCGGGTAATGGAAAATTTAATTATGTCAGCAGAATTATTTTTTTCGTGTGACTATAAATGAATGGTGAAATAATTATAGCCAGGAAATCCATTTTTGTAGTAAGTGCTGTTACAGTGGTAGCGATAGTAGCCTTATTTATATACAACATTTATAACAGTAAACATTATAGTTAATCGAACAAAAGAGAGGAGAGAGAGTTGCAAACGGGGCTTAATGATATCTCGGCTCACCTGAATTCCATGTAACTTGGAATACCGAACTCGCGGCCACGTTGCATGTTAAAAGACACCAGATCCATTCCGAATTTCGCCCCCACTTTCTTGAACAGATGATTCGTCACCTGCAAGAAGAGGAGCGATGTAAAATCGTGGGGTAAAATCGCGCGTTTCTAACGATCGCCGCGTCTTACTTCTTGCGTTATCGAATCGTCCATAGCCTGGGCGACTTGATTCATCAGTCCCATGATATATTCGTCGAACACACCGGCGCGATACAGATCGTAAGGACGTCTTATCAGGTCCGACAGTCTTTTTGAGGCTGCAAGAGACGTTCGTAGTTAGCCGGAGAGATTCGAGGAGAAATTTCGCGGAAAATCGCGAACTTCGAAGCCGGGTTATTCGGAGAACCGGCAAGTGAGAGAAACCACTTTCGACGCATGCCGTGTGGTGGGTGCGGTGTCGCGCTTACCGATGAATTTGTGCGCCTTGCTCCATCGCTCCACAGCCGTAGGCAACAGCGAGTGGCCGAATCGAAAAGCGGCGGCTGCGAAAGCGTCTATCACGCCGGGATTTATGCTCGAGTCGTATCCGTCCCAGTATTTCTGCGGGGAGTTAAATCTTACGACATCACTACGCGTGTCCATCGCTATGGTCGATATCCGTGAAAAAACGAACAGAGGGTGCGCGTATCGTCGTGAATCCTTTGTTCGGATTTTTCATTCGACCAGCGCGAGAGCGCGCGGTTTACCTGGCAACCTCTCGTGAAAGTTTCCTCATTTGCGGATAAGTTACGGTACTCGTAATTAATGTGTAATCGCGCACTTACTCTTTTTTTCTCCTCTTTTCGCGGAAACGTGCATTTTCGAATCATTAATCTCACTCACCTCTTTCTCGAGGAGAAGTCCGAATTTCTCCATAACGTCTTTGCCGAGTAATATCGGCAGGAACTCGTTATAGGTGATGTGTTGAATTTGCGCAATGACGATGCGCCTGGCTTCCTGGAAGAGAATCTCATCGTCCCAATGCGGATTGACGAGAGCCAGCGCTTTGGCGAGCCGATTATGCTCTCGCGCCATCAGCGTGTGCATGCAGGTCAATACCAGCTGTTCGTTCACTCGAATCTCACCTGAAAGTAAAGACAGACGAACGAACGCCGTGTGATCGAGGGCTCTGATCGACCGGTCTGAGGGAAAAATTCTTCCCGATCACCTCGCGATTAATATGCGTCAATCGCGGCCCGATAAGTGGGATAACAACTCACGGAGCGGTCGTACACGTGTGAATTTTCCCCACTCTCCTGTGACTTTGTGGAAGCTCGACGGCCTTGTAGTTGCGAGAACATTCCTTTTCCGATCCGCGTGAAATCGCCCGAACCCGACGATAACGCGGGAGCGAACGGCCAATCCGGTATGTTGGCCGAAATGCCGAAAAACTCGAGTGATTATGACTGTAATCTCTCTGTGCAACGTCCAATTTTTTCGTAATATGCGGTTCACGCGGATCACAGGCCACGTGGGTGACGATGCTCGCTCGGGCGGGAGATTTATGGTTTAGCGTACCGGTTCCCGTCTCTGCCAGCTTCAATAAGGACCTGTGATCTCCGTGAATCGGTGGGCGATGAACGGGCGTACAATTATCGTCACCGTCGAATTGTTTCATCTCACGAAACCTTCGGTCGGCCTGGCCGGTGTATGTAGGCGCGAGGCATTTGATCTCCGCGACGTGGGAAAATGATTTCTGCCGGTCGAGAGCGAGTGAGATATGCTGGCGCGAAATCACGGGGGGAGGGACGATCGCGTCGATCATAGCCATCTCTCTCGCTCTTGGGGAACGAGTGATAGGCGGGTTAAGGTAAGCCGTCACCACCGCGAGAACAAGCGTGACTTACCGCTTCATTGTGTATCACCAGCCGCGGAAAAATCAGCGAAAAACAGAATGGTTGCATTAAGCACGGCCATGTCCGACCAGTTGACTCACGTGTCGTCGCACGTACACGTTCATTGTGGATTCGAATGAACACGTAATCGAATTAATAGCACGCGTCTTGAATCGCGGGTTCTGGCGCCGTTCGATTCCGCGAAAGTCGTTGCGCGAAGAGATAATCGTCGGGCGTTTGATTTGTCACGACCGCCGCGTGAGCTAATAATATGTCGGGCGCACGCAATGGAGATTATCTCCACGGGATATTCTCGAAATATTTTTCCGGGAAACGTTCTGAGTTACCGGCTTCGAAGCAGTACATCGATCGGTTCGGCCGAGTGCATCCTTCGTCCGGTATGTCCAGTTTCAGTGGCAACAGATCCTTCAGGCCGTATTCTGCGAAGACCGGATTCATCCGCAGTAATCCGCCATAGCCCATGCGAAGTTTCCTGAAAAGAAAATATTTATTTATTTATTTATTATGTATTTATTATTTATTTAGAGTATCATAATATCCCCTTAAAATGCGTAGTATGTAGAACAAAATAACCTGCACAACTATTTTGTGTATTGAGTTAAATTAGTTAATATTTAAAAATTGAATTTAGATGCTTTAAAAGAGAGGGCGCAGTTTAATACACGGTAAAAAGTTCTGTGTCAAATTTAACACATTTTACATCTTCTAAACGGTCCACACAAATTTTTATGTTAATTTAATACAAAGAGAATATGTTGAAAAATACAAATATTATATCAAAAATTAACACCAAAATTAATATCCATAATATGTTAACCGACACTGAAATATAGAGAATTCCTTTTTTTACGAACTACTGAAATAGAATAAAAATGAAAAAAAAATATATCTAAACCAATTTGAATATTTATGATTTTGGAATATTTATATTTTTTATTTATACGGTATAGAATACATAAGACATTTCATATGTTTCGTTGAGTTTTAATAACATGGAAATCAAAAAAACATTGAATAAATAAAATAGTTCAAGATTTTTGCTTAGAATTGCGTGTTTCAAATATCACAATTACTCCTGCGTAATTTTTTCAATCAGAGTCCACATTTTTGAGAAAATCGAACTGAAGATCCCCATTAGACCTCAGGAGATTTTCTGTATAGATGAACACGGAGTGAAAACGGTCATTTCTCTTTGCGTTATTACTTGTTACATTAAACTCATACCTGGCGAAAACTTCCGTAATGCCGTAAACGGTGTTGCCGTCCAGCACACCCGTGAGAAGATTGAAAGGCACCCGAGAGCCGAGGCGACAGCCGGGTCGAACGGCGGGAAAAGCGCGGACGAAGTCCATGCAGCGAACGTTGAATAACCGGTAGAAGTAATCATCCTCCGGTATGAAGATCTCGTTGCAGTAAGGATTCTTCAGGTGAGGCGGCCGGGAGCAGCATTCCTCCGGGTCATTTCGATTCAGGGGATCTGCGGGGATGCGATATATACGATAATGATAGCGAAACAGTGTGATAGCGTGCGCATTCTATACTCGCGCATATCGGCTCTCACGATTCGGGCTAGAAGAAACTCAACCACATATTAAGAGAAATCTTTAGCAGCCTGACGTTAGCCACGATAATTTAATCCGCGCAACGGACGGATGTAGCGCGGGAAGTTCAACGAAGAGACGCGGAGAGTGATGGTCTAGCTCGCGTGTCGCAACCTCTCGACCCTGCGTTAGAAACGAGCGAGATCGTCGATCAATTATCTCTTCCTGGACCCGGGTCAACGCCGTACACGTGGGATCGCCCGCGGGCGTCAGTGGAATTGCATTCTAAATAATTCTCTCTTCCGAGAACCGTCCGATAATTGGCCAAGTGTCGCAGTCCGTGTCCCGAACGGTCGCAGGTTTCGCGGCTCGCCAATTCTGGTTGACACATTCGCGAGCGAATGATCTCGAAAGCGAAATGCTCGAAAACGTCACGGACACGTGATTAGTTTATCCGGCCGGGCGATCGTTTCGCCTTCTCTCGTTCGCTTTCTCTCGTAGTTACCCTCCTTTCGATATATACGGTAAACGATCAGGCTCGTGGAAGGGTCGTGCGATCTACGATGCACGCGCGCGCGCGTGAACGAACGAGCGAGCGAGCGCGTATCAAATATCTCGATACAGTTGATTCGACTTGAGCAGCTTGAGCAATCCGTTCTCGACGTTCAAGACGCGCTTTCTAATTTCTATTCTACCCGCGCGATCGAAACCGTGGACTTCAATCTTTCGAACGTATGGACCACCACCGGTCTGTCGGTGGCTTTCCTCAGGATCGATCGGCCTGGCCGTATCGTCGATCATTACGTCGTGCTCCAGATCGCCGTCGTGCCCCAGATAGGCTGGAATACAAAAAGTACCTAAAGGCGTCCCGGTCAGGGTGTAGTCGTGGTCCATGAACTGTCCCCATGCGATCACCATCACCGTGCCGGCGTGGTCGTGGTAACCTTCGTCGGGGTGCATGGTGCGTGACACCACTCGCGACAACGGTAGCTCATGACCCGTCACGGATATCCTTGGCGCCGACAGGCCGTCCGCGAATTGCGGACTCATCAACCTGCAACGTAGAGAACGATTCGTACAACGGGGAAAAAGAATTTGCCGACACGGCGGATTTTGTTGCCGCAGAAAAACCCCCGGTTACTGTACACTGAAAATAAAAAAAGAAGAAATTGCTATGTCCAAGTAAATATTTACTAAGGAGTATTGCAGTAGTTTATTTTATTTGAATTAAGTAAATATTACTTGAATGTAGCACTTTTCTTCCTCCAATGTGCTACATTCAAGAAATATTTACTTAATCCGAACAAAATAGATAATATTTACTTGGACACAGCAATTTTATTTTCGGCTTTTTTATACCAACTTTTTGCTAACTTGGTTATACCAACTAAATTTTATTGTTGTTGCAACGAATATGTGCAGTAGCAACGATGGTTTCGTTACAGCAGCAAGATTATTTTTCTCCGTGTAGGAGCCACCGGGACGCGGCACGTCGCGCTCGCTTGCGTCGGATAAGTGCCGTGGCACATTGAAAAACGTAAGCAATAAGGAAATCGACCAACTAATCGATATATTTCTTTAGGTTTATTCTAAAACACGATAGCAGAAGAAATTAAGATTTCAACCAGTTGAAATCTTAGCTACTGCTTCTGCTCAATTTATCGTCACTTCTATGGTCTTTTGGAATGCATAAATCTAAAGAAATACTGATTGATACTGATTGATTGGTCAAATTCCTTATTACTTACGTTTTTCTATGTGTCATCCGTTTAAGCGTCCGCACGGCGATGGAAGAACGTCTTACCTCGCGAAGGGTGACAGGGTGGCGCCCCAGGTTGGATTCTGCAGATTCGTGCAGAGACCGTCGTAACGTCGGTACTTGCCCGGTCGGCACTCCACGTTGCTGAGGAAAGCGGGACAGACCTCGCGGATGAGCGTCTTCGAGGTGTCGATCAGCGGTAGGCTCTTCTCGATCTCTTCGTAGGTCAGTCCGTACCTGTGCGCCGACCGGTGAACGATTAGCTCAAATTAAATAGCGATTAGCGTCGATCGCGATCGGATCTCGATGAGAGGGGGTGGGATCTCACGCGGGACTTGAGACGAGGGGGAAGGCTGACTTACGTTTGCGCGAGATTCGTGCTGATGTCGAGGAGCAGCTCGCCGACCGTCGCCAGGTCCTCCGGCCGCCACATATCCGACTTCGGTCTCGCGACGTCTACAAGCGATCGCGAGTTAGCGACGAAAGTATGAGGCGTCAGGAAGAAAGAAATAAGAAGAAAAGAGAAACGCGAACGAGCAAACACGCTAAAGAGAAAATATCTAAAAGATAAACATTTTTTTATTCGGTGGGTGCTGATAACATATTTACCTAAATTTAAACTCTTCCGTTCAAATAGAAGGAACAATGGTTTTTTTTTTTTCAGCTAACTAAATTACAGTTTTAAGAAAATGCTGTACCAACAAAATAATGTTCTTCGTGTAGTGTAAAAGTATGCTATTAATACGCACACCGAATAAATCGTTCCTTATCTTTCACAGATATTTCTCCTCTCGGTATACGAGAACGTGAGAAGCTCTCGGAGAGATCGGTCGTTCCCGGTCGATAAAAAATTGTCGATACACATAATATGAATTACGTACGCGCGTAATTACTTCCTCTTAATGAAATTTCATGTACTTTCTGACGCGCAATTAATTCCTCTCTTAATGAAATTTGATATACTCACTGACGCGCTTTCTTGCCTCGACGTAGGCATGATTTACGGCGTCGTATGTGATGCAGGTCTGAGTTCCCCCTCCCGCGGCGGGGCTGCGGACGGCGGAAGAACAAAGATGAAAGTTTAACTTACGCCAGAGCCGATCCACAGCAAGAAATGATTATTTATGCCCCCTCTCTCTCTTCTTCCTTCTTCTCCACCCTTGTCGCGCGCGCGAGCGAATTAATTACTCGACGTGTGTTTCGCAGCCTACTTTCGTGAGAAGGGAACCCGCGGCGCGCGAATTCATCGCGCGTTTCGCCCGACCGCCGGCCGTGCGCGCGCGATATTTCATATCAAGGTAACCCGAAACTATCCCAGATGTCCTAGCTCTCCTATGATCGCACGCGAATCGACTTTCATATCCTGTTTCCGCCACGCGGATTATAACGGCATTGACGTGCCACCCGCGGCTCTCTCGCTCGCCGACGAAGGTTGACCCCGGTCTCGCCGCGTTTCTCTACCATGCCATATTTTACGTACGCCTATTCGCCGCTGCTTCCGCCTTTTACCCTTCCGTTTCTCTTTTTATCCCCTTAGTGCGGGTGCTGGTTGACACGACGGGGTCGCCAACTCGCCCGTTACATTCGCTCACGGCTCCGTCCAAGTTCGCGCGACGACGACGACGACGATAACGGAACTGTTCTACAAATCTCATTCGAGAGACGAGACCGCGCGAATTCACCGATCGTGATGAATCGTGCACGCGAGAACTGCGGGAGAGAGAAGGTGGCCGAGGGAGACTGAGAAGGATGAAGAGGGGGGGAGAGAGAGAGAGAGAAAAAGAAACGCGGCTTTTCGCTTCTAATTCGCAGCGAAGCGTTACGCGACGCAACCGTTACGTCGTAACGATGTAATAATAACGAGAGCATTCTATAATGGTGTCGTGCGTCGACGCACTTACCATAACTGGTCCGAGAGACGGCTGTACTCTGTTCTCGGGAATTGCGCCAGCCGCGGAACTTTTCTCTCGATACACACATAAATCGCGCTCACTTCAGCCTGCTCGCGGCAGCATTCATTTTTCTTTTTTTCTTCTCTCTCTCCCCGTATCTTTCTCTTTACAACGACGTTAAATAATCGTGACCGACGCGCGAGACACGCCAAGTAAGACCGACGGCGAATTCGAGGATACATCCATGTGTGTGTGTGCATGTGCATGTGTGCGCGCGAGGCGTCGTCGTTCGCGCCTCGAGTCCGTTCTCGTTATACTCGCGTCGTGATCCTTTCGAAACGCGCCGATCGAGAATCGCTTTCACAGCCGACAGCACGCGCAATTTCAATCCCTAGATCGGCCGATCTGCGGCATATCGCGCGAATAGATAGATAGGCAGGCATACGTATCGCGCACGACGTCTTTCTCGTTATTACGTCGTGTCCCCGGGCGACCGCTTGACATTCCGCGTGCCGAAGTAGGTGCGTGACATCGTTAATCGGAGCGACGTTACATGCAGCTCTGCGTCGCTCGCCCATCGTTAAACCGGCCGGTCGCGGATCACGCGACTCGCGTGTCTACGCTCGGCTGTGTTTACTCCCGATCAGCCGAGCACTTATCAGCCGTGCTCTCCCCACCCTCACCCCCCGCCCCTCCTCGAGAGTGCCGTTCCCGTCGATTTGTCCGTTCAACGTTGTACCGCTACGCGAGAGCAATTGCGTACGTTTTCATCGAGTCATCGAGTGGACTGTCAAACGGACGGAGGGACGGAGCAGTGTTCACCGAAGTGTTCGTAAAAGTTTCCCTGAAGAGTTCTTCAATATAGTAATTGCGCACGGAGACGAAGAGAGAGAATGTTGGATTGTTAATGGCGTTATTATGACGGGGAATCGACCGGTTAATTACGCAATTATGATGAGGATTCAGCGCTTAATTCTTAATGCATCGCGCATGACATATTGCTAAGTCCGTATCAGGTTAGATGTTGCAGATTGGCATTGCGGAGTTATGCCTTAGACAACTTGCGCAACGAGAAGGGCGAGTCAAGATTGCAGGCAACTCCTTTTTTGCAACTTCTCCTTGCTCATTTAGAAACGCCTTATTTCTGAGAAAAAGGCTCACTCTTCTCACGTTCCTCTTACTCGATTTAAATCCTTTAAAAGAAAATTCGATTACAAGGAATCATGTTCGATAATTCGCTCCTTGAAAGACGAAACGAGAGATATTCAAAGATAATAGGAAATGACGATGACTCCGACGACACAATGTTCATAAACTGACGAAATGTGATTTCACTTTTAGGCTGTTTCTATCAGGTTTGTTCGAGAAACAAACAACGATGGCCGGCATAAGCACAACTAATTGTGCTTCCTTCAAGTTACACGTGATGGAATCGTTTGTTCACGATTTGTCCGCGATCGCGATCGAAGTAGCAGCCGTCGCACTGCGACTAGACAATCCCATTCCTAATCTGCAATCTTAATCTACAATATTCAGTAAGACGTGAATTTCACGAGCGGTGGTCGGCGTTTCACGAGTAATTAAACACAGCGATAACACAGCGTGTAATGATAATTAACAAGCTGAATTTGTTCTTTTCTCGTCGCCGCCCATTTCTTTGTCTCGGTCACCCCACTACCACTTTAAATCCGCTTTTATCTTAACACGGCCCCCCCTCGCAGCTCATTAGCGGCGCGCCCCGAAAGGCTCAATTAGCCGCGGCAAGATTCTCACGCGGCCGTGCTCGATCGCGCGTTAGATTAGCCGGTAGTTACCGTTCGCGTATACTCACGTATATATGCGAACCGCCGCGATAGACGGACAGATAGATCAGGTAGATCGAATCGAACTGCGAATACCGCGTTATGGCCAATTACGACGGCGCGACCGGCAGAAATGCGGCGCGTTCCTTCGCTGCGTAATTGCCGCGCGGCTTAACCCGGTTTCGGACCCGAAGAACCGCGTCCACGGCCGCGGAGCGAAGAAATTCCCCCCTTTCGTTGACTTTTCGTCGACAACGGTCTATAATTCAGATTAATGTACGAGCACGCGTATTAACCTTGCGATTGAACCCCGTAATAACAATCTCACCCGTAATTCTCCGTCTCTCTCTCTCTCTCCTGTAAACCCCCGGGCAAACTTGACACTCGTTTAAAGGGGAGTTGCACGAGCGTTGAAATCATCCCGCACGATCGTCGTCCCCGTCGTCTCCTCAGCGCGAGGAAACGGCGGTTAATCACCGGTTTCGGCGTTACGCACGAGGCGCTCGCGAAACGCGAAGATTACGAGCGTGGTTCGCGCGATAAGCACGATTCTCCGCGCGATGACGACGACGAACGGACGACACGTAACGGTCAATCTCCTTACGCGTCTTTATGCCGGCTCGATCATACCATAAACATGATCCGGCCCGATAAAAACGACCGGTTGAAAAGAAAAGCTGGACAACGGGGCGAATTTTACGACGCAGTTGTAACGCGTCGCGGGTTGTAACACAATATGTTGCCCGATCGAGTTTGACTTAGGCGCGCGGAATGTCCGCGTGTACACGCGAGTACTCGCGTTAATAAAGTATGCGCATGCGGTAATAACCGGTAAGGTCCGGTATCGGAGCGAGGGCCCACTGGTCCTACGGGAACAGGATGATAGTGAAAGTTCTGGATTGCTGCGCGAGCAAAGTTCCTGCTTTCTCTAATCCTATAGAATGTCGGGTGAGGATTTACTGCATTACGTAAGCGCGGACGCTATATGCGGCCGGCGAACGCGATTCATATGTGTGTGTGTGTGTATGTGTGTGTGCTATAATGTGTATCTCGTTTGTAAGTGATAGATGTCCGCAGGAGGATTCCGCATAATATCAGGTATCGTGTCGAAGGATACGAACTTTGGTCAATGTTACCTTTCCTTTTGCTATTTCTTTTTCTTTCATTTTTTTCTACATTTCTCGCGAGCGCGCGATACTCTCCTCTTTCTCGCCTGTGTTGCGAGATACCGTAAACAAACAGTGGCACCTTTAAATCCCAATCGTGCGCGGTCTAACAATAGCGCAATTAACCCGTTGTGAGTGCAATTAACCCGCTCTGCACAACAAGATTTCTCGCTGTTCGCGCTCACGCTCTCCGTCTTCGTGAAAAAACTTGAAGCCGGACGGATACACAATTGCTCGTATTAGCATTCTTAGTGTTATATTTGCCGCGCTATTTAATCAATCAAGCAGAACTGTGTAAATCGGTTCAAGACAACGGTACGTAGAAAGAATATTATAGAAAGAGAGAGAGAGAGAGAGAGAATTTTTCGTATACATTTTTGTTAGCATGTTGTTTAGTAATAGAGAAATAAACCATCGTCGGAATTTAATTTTCTAAGAAACGCAATGTATTTTTTAATAACAGATTTTTCTGAAATGTAAATTCTTTAATGAAATTATAATTAAATCGCGAAAGAAATTGATAATGAGAGAAAATATTTCTACTGTCACCGTATATTATTTGTGAGATTTCTAAAATGTAAATAGGATATACATATAAAACGAAAGGATAATCAAGTAGAATATCAATATTTATGTATTCCTTTCTCTTTTTCTCTCACTTTCTCTGTCGGTTACGAAATTTTACAATTCTTACTATATTAATATTTTCTTTCCGTGTGATCATAGCGCTTGATTCTTCGCGATGGATTTGCCGATCTGATGTTCGTTTGAAGTATGTTAGCGCACTAGAGATATAAAAACACGACCTATTCAGCGAGAATCGCGCGGGCGAAAATTCACGGATCACTGATTTCGCCTCGGAGCTCAAAACCGAAAGTTAATTTCGGCCACTCCTGGAGAAATCGGACTCAACCGTCCACCTTCGCATTCGGGCTCTCGCTAAATTAAGATAGCTATCGTTGTGTGGATTCATATTCGGTTCTAATGTAAGTACTTACAACGATCCGCGCAGCAAATTATAGGTGTAGTCGTAAACGCTGGTTCTTCCACGAGAGTCCAGGATCAAGGCGCAGTCCTCGCCGTTTACATAAGCGTCGAGAGGCTGATATTGCAATCCTTTGCAACAGGCCGTTACCAGCAGGAGCCCGACGATCGCGGAACTCGTCCGCGTTATCGCGA